AACCTGCGAGACGAGAAAGCACAAGAACTCCGGGGAAGAAGTGGAGTTAGTAACATGCATTAAAGGGACATGAATGAGTGCAGAAAGAGAGAGGAAGAGAGTAGCTCAGTGCACCATGGGAAATCCCCCGATAGTCTAGGCCTATAGCAGCATAACTAAGGGATGGTTCAGGACTCACCTGATCCAGCCCTAACTATAAGCTTTATCAAAGAGGAATGTCTTAAGCCTACTCTTGAATGTGGTGAGGGTGTATGGTATATTGTAGTTGTATATATTGTAGTATATATTGTAGTAGTATATAGTAGTAGTATATATTGTATATTGTAGTATATATTATACTATATATTGTAGTATATATTGTAGTAGTATATATTGTAGTATATATTGTAGTATTATATATTGTAGTATATATTGTAGTATTATATATTGTAGAAGTATATAGTAGTAGTATATATTGTTGTAGTATATTGTAGTAATATATATAGTAGTAGTATATATTTTAGTATATATTGTAGTATTATATATTGTAGAAGTATATATTGTAGTAGTATATATTGTAGTGTATATTGTAGTAGTATATATAATAATATATATTTGTAGTAGTATATAGTAGTAGTATATATCGTAGTAATATATATTGTAGAAGTATGTATTGTAGTTGTATATATTGTAGTATATATTGTAGTAGTATATATAATAGTATATATTGTAGTAGTATATTTTTGTAGTAGTATATATTGTAGTATATACTGTAGTAGTATATATAATAGTATATATTGTAGTAGTATATATTGTAGTAGTATATATTGTAGTAGTATATACTGTAGTATTACATATTGTAGTAATATATAGTGTAGTAGTATATATAATAGTATATATTGTAGTGTTATCTATAGTAGTATATATTGTAGTATATATTGTATTATATATTGTAGTAGTATATATTGTAGTAGTATATAGTTGTAGTATATATTGTAGTAATATATATTGTAGAAGTATATATTGTAGTTGTATATATTGTAGTAGTGTATATTGTAGTAGTATATTGTAGAAGTATATATTGCAGTATATATTGTAGTGGTTTATATTGTAGTATAATTTGTAGTATATATTTTGTAGTATATCGTCTCGCAGGTTCTTATCGATCCTGGTGGAGCCTCCTGCCATGGTCCTGCTAGATTGCCATTGCCAATACTGTTGTTGCTGTGCACCTGTCTGTCTGTCTGTCTGTCTGTCTCTCTCTCTCTCTCTCTGTCTCTCTCTTTCACCCCAACTGGTCAAGACAGACGACCACCCACCTAGAGCCGAAGGATCTGTCCTAGGTTTCTGCCTTTTAACAGGCAGTTTTTCCTTGCCCTTGTCTCCAAGGTCTTGCTCATGGTGGTACTGTTGGGTCTCTGTAAATAATGTTATAAAGAGTTCGGTCTGGACCTGCTCTATTTGAAAAGGGTCCTGAGATAACTTCTGTTATGAATTGGCGCTATACAAATAAAATTGAATTGAATTGAATTAAAAATTGAACTATAAATTGTAGTAGTATATATTGTAGTGGTTTATATTAGCATTAGCAGTAACAGTAGCATTAGCATTAGCAGTTTAGAGTAAGGAGAAGGCATTATTGTTGCTTTATTGAAATACATTCAGAAGAATATAGTATCTGATGTGTTCACTGTAAACTCTGGGGATGAATGTTAATAATTCGTGTTTTTCTTGAATAAAACAGCTCTGTAAACTTTTATCTGTTTTTATTAGCATTCATTAATCCAGTGAATAGAGTTCAGGGTCAGTTTCAGTCTCTGCTTCAGACTTCAAAGACTCTTATTATTCTTAATTATTCTAAAGTCCATCAGACCGACTGATAGCTCTCAGACATTAGCATTATCTCAAGGACACAAGCACTACTAGCTAGACTACTAGCAGTACAAGTATTAGCAGTGGTAGCAAAGGCTGGTAGCCTATTAGCAGTGTTAGCAGTAGTAGCAGAACTAGTATTAGCAGTAGCACTATTAACAATAGCAGTATTAGTAGAAGTATTAGTATAAGCAGTATTATTAGCCATTAGTATTAGTATTGTAGTAGAAGTAGGCCTATTGGCAATAGCAGTAGTAGCATTAGCAGTAGTAGTATTAGCAGTACAAGTAGCAGTAAAATTAGGCTTAGCAGTAGTAAAAGTATCAGTATTAGCAGTTCTATTATGGTTCTAATATCGTTCTACTATTGTTATCTGCTGAGTCCTCACATGAGTTTAACATGAAGAGACTCTCCAACAGCTCACACCATCATAATATAATAAATATTATAAAATAAATAATAAATATTATATAATAAATATTAAATAAACGTAACTAGACACTAGTTGATGGAAGAGGCTGCAAATTTAAATTTAATACCACAAAATTTAAATCACTGAACCGCCCCCCCCAACCCGCAGGCCTTTAACCCTTTCAGCACCAAAGTTGCAAAATAGCGACACGACACGGTACTGAATCAAACAGCTCTTTTCTCCTTATAGAGTATCGATATAGTATCTATATCTCGTTCATACTCCCCTCCACTAGTTGGCAGACATCCCGTACTTAGACCTTAGCTCAGAAATATGTCATGTTTCAATGCAAAATGTTCGAGCAAGTCCCGTCCAAACTGTTGAGTGAGAAACCGGAAATAGTGTGCCACAGCGCTATTTAAGCTGAAGCGGTATTGCTGGAGTGTCTCAATATTGTTCATACTGTCTCTGTACTGTGCATTGCAATGAGAGGTTCCACACTCTACAAATACTACAAACTTTTATCTGGATAGATGGGCACAGATTAGGCCTCTGCAGCTAAAAGACGCCTACTGTTATCATTATTATTATAGTTCTAGGTTAAGACTCTTGGCTTACAATTTACCTTTTCCCTGTTCATTTGATATGTGGACAACATAACAAATGGATGGAGGGGGGGTGAATCTGATGAAATAAATTCAACTCTCTTTCAAAATATCAGGTATTTCATGGAAATTACATAATCCAATATGGCCGCCGCCATAATATGCAAATTAGATGGGCAAATTTTCTCCCTAGATAAACTTTAGGTCATTCTCAATATTTGTCTCATTTACACTTTGTCTCTATCTCAAACCACTATCAAGCCAGAGCCTTCTGAAATTTAGATGTCAAAATCTAGTATTTTAAAAAATAAAACCTGGCACCTAAAGGGTTAATTGGGACAGGCCTTTATATGGGACAGGCATCTATTTGGGGACAGGCGTCTATCTCTCTCTGTCCTTCTATCATTATCTCTGCTCTCTCCCCCCCCCTCTCTCTCCCACCTAGAGTCGGGGTCTCTCCGACGTTTGTGCCTCTTAAAACGCAGTTTTTCCTTGCTCATGGTGGTACTGTTGGGTCTCTGTAAATGTTATAAAGAGTTCGGTCTAGACCTGCTCTATTTGAAAAGTGTCCTGAGATAACTTCTGTTATGAATCGGTGCTATACAAATAAAACTGAACTGAACTGAATTATTGGGGAGAGGCAGACAGGCCTTTATTGAGGACAGGTCTTTATTGGGGACAGGCGTCTATTGGGGACAGGCGGACAGGCCTTTATTTGGGACAGGCCTTTATTGGGGACAAGTCTTTATTGGGGAAAGGTGGACATGCCTTTATTGGGGACAGGCCTTTATTTGGGACAGGCCTTTTTTAAGGACAGGTCTTTATTGAGGACAGACGTCTATTGGGGACAGGCCTTTATTAGGGGCAGGCCTTTATTTGGGACAGGCCTATATTAGGGACAGGCGTTTATAAGGGACAGGTCTTTATTAGAGACATGCGTGTATTGGGGACAGGCCTTTATTGGGGACAGGCTTTTACTGGGGACAGGCCTTTATTATGGGCAGGCCTTTATTTGGGACAGGCATATATTAGGGACAGGCGTTTATTAGGGACAGGTCTTTATTGAGGACAGGCGTCTATTGTGGACAGGCCTTTTTTGGGGACAGGCCTTTATTGGGGACACGCTTTTACTGGGGACAGGCCTTTATTAGGGAAAGGCCTTTATTAGGGACAGGTGTCTATTGGGACATGAATGACACTGAACATGAACCTGGTTTAACAGCAGCTGAAGATTTACGGCAGCCGGCGTACAGACAGTAAACAGACAGCGAGCAATAGACTGCACATGATAATATTCACAGCTCGGAATAATTTAATGAAACACTTTGTTCTGATTGACCCTGACGGACTTAAGGAATATAAATAATGGAGGAATGGACCGTACGGACTTTATGATCTGGTCTCTTGTTTACAGCGAGTCTGAATGAATGAATGTTAAACTTTTTTTTTTTTAAAGTTATTTCTTTGGCCTTTTCGTTGACTTTATTTTTATCGAGACAGCTGTAGAGAGACAGGAAAGGTGGGTGGAGAGAGAGAGGATGACACGCAGCATCCATACTGACAGAAGGTTAAACATCTATATCTGTGTAGGAGATCTAAACGGCTTAAAGCAGCGAATCGGTGGGTTTAAAGATGTTTTATACAGACCAGGCCTCTATTGGAGACCAGCCTTTATTTGGGACCCTGCCTTTGTTGGAAGTTTTACTGTAGTTTACATATTGTTTATTCTGTTTAATAATTAATAATAATTAATATTCCAAACTGCAGCTGTCAATAATCATCTCACTGAAGTATTTACTCTACAGATTGATTAATTACAATATAATCAATAATGATTATTATAGATTGAACTATTATAGTCATTTAAAAGCTCCAGCAGCATCATTAAAGTGATGAAAACATTAATTATAATCCAGTAATATCAGCTAGTGAGTGCTTTTATTTTGGTACTTTAATAAAAATAAAATGTATTGTCACACTTTAATCAAAGAGTCTGTTTGTGATATCAAACACATTCAATATTTATATATTTATATATATTTACAAATATAATGAAATGAACTGTAAATTCAAGTTAGTGTTATTGTTATTAAATATAAATGTGTTGACTGTGTGTGAATGAATGAAGCCGGTTACAAGAAGAATAACACAGTTTTATTAAAATTTAATTTGGCTACATTTATTCGAGCATCTCCAAGAGAAATTAAAAATTCAATAATAATAATAATAATAATAATAATAATACTTCAGACATTTCAGGAATTCCTTCATCATCTTCATCATCAGTCCTTTTTCACCTTTTCAGTGGGATGAATAAAGTGGATTTTTACTCTCAAAAATACAGTGTTTTCACAATAATAATAATCGTATCAAAAGTTCCCCAAATTTAGAATTTCCAGTAGTTTGAAATAAAACAATAAAACAAAAGAAGTGAATTTTCGCCCTCTATTCATAGTTTGCTCCAATAGTCAATGACAGAATCATTTTACTAAAATATATCTATGTGTGAGGAACTCTAATACTGTACACTACAGTATGAAATAAATAAAATTAGGAAATATAAAATGACTCACATAAATAAAATGGTAAATTCTCAAATAAAAACAAAACAAAAAAAGAAATTTGTGTTGGAAATTCAACAAAAAAAGGTAATACTGACAAAAAAATACTGTCATGGAACAAAAAAATACAGAAAATTGCACAAACGTGTGTAAACTAACAAACTGCAGTCTATCTATGCTAATACTGACGGATGGGAACAGGGCGCAGTGTTCATCATGAGAGGACAGGTGGCGCTGTACAGGGATGGCACTTTAAGAACAGGTGGAAGGTTTGCATATAAGGCTTTCTCTGGAGAAACACACACAAAAAAGGCTCTGTCCTTTATTTCATCTTTTAAAACGGAGCCCTTTCATATTAACACTCCTTCCTCTCCTCTTTAAGACTCACATCCACATTTTATTTTGAAAATCACACAGGTTTAAATGTTCCTTCACATAAAGAAAAAAATAATCAGGAGGCCCAAAGTCGTGTGGTTAGTTGGCAAAAGTAATAAAAAAAGGATCAAAATAAAAAACGTCACAGTAAAAGGAGACAAAAGATACGACGATAACACTGACAGGAAGTGACGAGTGTTCGAGGCTTTTCCCTCTTTTTTTATTCTTTTTTTTATTTTGTAGTGATTCGGGGAGTCGAGTGCAATTTCCTGATGTGGGGTTCGAACACAACGAGACACAGGAAGTTAAGAACATTATAGCACCACACAGCTTTTAGGCCTTTATAACACTGTACATTACAAACAGCTTCACTTCATTATAATGATAATCATTATTACTTTTTTTATTTTTTATTTTTTGCATAATGTGGATTTTTAAACAATCCCACCCAGCTTCATGGCGGGAATGTCGGCCGCCATCGCGTTGCATCCTCGGTTCGGGACCGTACAGAAATTATTCGGGGAGCGGAGAGGAGCTCTACCGTCTGGTTTTACTTCTTAATGTGAACATAATCTCGTTTCAGTCACTGATCAGAACAAGCTGGAAACTTAATATGAAACACTTTGTGACCTTTGACCTATCAGGTTCTCTCTAGGTTCTAGTAGTTTGGTGACTTAGTCTTCGCAGGGCTAGTTGGTGAAATACGCTGGCTGGAGAACTAGCCGCTAAGTCGCTAATGGCCCGGGAACATGCTCGTGCTAATTAGTCTCAACAGCTTCTTATCTCCACTTTCTCTCTACTGACAGTTTGTTCACCTCCGAGTTCAATAAAAAGTAACTGAAGAGGTTAAATTAAGTGCTCAGAGCTAACAAATATTAGCCATCACTGTCATCACTGGCTGGTTACGGTTAGCATCAAATCTGTTAGCTAGAAGCCTGAATTTATTTTAGATTCATACAATAAAAATTTTGGACGTGATTGATGTATCTTTCGAAGTTATCGCAGTGACTTTAATTACTCAAAACAACAATTATTCTTGCTAACGAACGTTAGCATTAGCTGTGTTATTACCACTAGCCAGCAGGCTGTGTAGCATGGTAGCTAATGGTAAAAACTGGTTCATACAAGATAGAAAATGACTCATTCATAACAAATGAATCTTAAGTGACTCCGTAAAGTTACAGAACGAATTCTGAGATAAAACATTTTCTTATTTTACATTTTAGGGCCAGAAAAGTCACAAAAAGATGATAACATAAAGTATTTTTGACTAAAACAGACTGAACCTGATAAATCAAAGGTCACTGTTTGTCTTTAACTTGTTCTGAATTAACTGTAAAACTGTAAAAAATCAGCTCAGAACAACGAACATGTTCCTTTTATCTGACTGTTGGGACGAATAAAGTCCTATTTTCTTTTTTTAAAGAACTCTTATAAGTTGAAATAAAATCTTAATCTGGGCTTTCATCCTGTCACAATCTGCTTTATTTCCTCCCCATATAATGTGTGCAGTCCCTTCAAAATAAAAGCATTCTCTCTGAATGGAGTGACAAATGTTCCAAAGCTCTTTACTTTCTGGATCAGTCTTCCTGGTCCGACTTGCCGTCTGTCTTCCCTTCTCGTGAACTCTCGTCCATCAGCTGCGTCGTGTCTTTGCCCTCGCCGTCCCTCACTGAGTCCATCTGGCTCCTGCTGTCACCTTCTTCCTCCTCCTCCTCTTCCTCTCCTTCCCTGAAACTTGCCTCCTGTCTGTCTGTCACCTCCTCGTACGTCTTGTTGTCCACTTCCCTGTCCTCTCGTGCTCTTCCCTCGCTGCCGTCCCTCAGGATCGTACCTTCTCCTCCACCGCCGCCGCCGCCACCGTCCTCCTGCTGGTCCTCTGGGTCTGAGTACCCAAGTGGCCCCAGCCCCTGCAGGTAGGCCCTCCTCATCAGCAGCTCAGTGGGCTCCAGACCTCCTCCTCCTCCTCCTCCTTTGTCCCGGGCCTCCCTCTCGGCCGCCTCGCGCTCCTCCGCCTCCCTCTTGCAGTAGGAGTAGCGGTGGTTCATGTGCTGCGAGTACGAGCCCGAGTGGGAGAAGCGCTTTCCGCACTTGTCACACTGGTAGGGTTTCTCTCCGGAGTGCAGCCGCGAGTGTTCGATCAGGTGGTGTTTGTGTTTGAAGGCTTTCTTACAGATCTGACACTGGTGAGGACGCTTCCCTGCAGAGACACAGGATGGGACGAGTTAGCGACATTCAGCACACTCACATTTAATGCACAGAAGAAGAAATATCATCATGTTAGCCATCACTGTTTCTCATTGTTATAAACACACACAAACTCAGTTAGCATCCAAACTGTTAGCTAGAAACCTGAATGTATTTTACACAATAAAAATGTTGTTGTCGCGGTAACTTTAGTTTCTAAAAACATTCTTTCTTGCTAATGAACGTTAGCATTAGCTGTGTTATTAACATTAGACAGCAGGCCGTCTAGCATGGTAGCTAACGGTAAAAACAGATTCATAATGAGCTTTTTAACCACAGAATCTTAATTAATGAATGTTTCCTTTTGTTTTATTTTAGGTTGTAAAATGAAATTATAGTTTACTTAAAAAAAAAAACTTAGTCTTAATTACTGGACTTTATGATAAATTGTCTGTGTTTCTTATCTAAATATTTAATTCATTTTAAATTATTGATCTGACCGTTGTAGATTTTTATCTGATTAAAGATTTCTGCTCAGATCTCGTAGAATAATAATAATAAATAATTTGGGATAAACGATTAAAGGATAAATGTAATAATAAATCATTTTAAATAAGTTGCACATTTAATGAGAAACGTGGATCTGTTCAATCAATAACTGGTTTTACTACAGTTATTGATTGAAAAATGAGAATACTGTTCTATCTATATCGAATGTTGTTCTATTTTATTATACAGATATTTGAGGTTGGACATTATTTAGAGGAGAAGGTCTGTTTAGACTTTTGGTGTGAAGATAAATAATAATAATAAAGTATTTCTAATCAATCAGTGATCAAACTAGGATCAATATAAATTACAATCAATAAAGTTCTGTTCTACAACCCCGGAAGAGTTCATCCAATGACAAATATATAACGAGAGAGTTCAATCAATTTAAAATCAATCAATAACCATTAGGGCGGCTGTGGCTCAGAGTCAGAGTGGGTCGTTCCTTAATTGAAAGGTTGTGGGTTCGATCCCCAGCTCCTGGTGCCACATGTCGAAGTATCCTTGAGCAAGATACTGAACCCCAAATTGCTCCCGATGCCGTGCATCGGTGTGTGAATGTGTATGAATGAGTTAGTTTCTGTTCGATGGACTTTGCCATCACTGAGTGAATGTGTGTGAAAGGGTGAATGTGGCACGTAGTGTAAAAGCGCGTTGAGTGGTCGGAAGACTAGAAAGGTGCTATACAAGTACAGGTCCATTTACCATTGTTTAACAGTTTTTAAATTAAAGGTGAATTATTAAATCAGGTTAGTTAATCTTTGAATACAAATTAAAACCGACTGTAACTTCCTGTTTGAAGTTCAACATCGACACGAAAGACTGAAATTAATATTAGAATTAATATTATAATCATTATTAATCAAAAGATTATTGATTAAATGTCCATAAACAGATGATTTCTCACTGTTTCTGTACATCGTGTTGAAGGTAGAAGGTCTCAGCTCTTAAACAGGTAAAATCACCGTTACACCAAACCTCATTAAAAAAATCACTTGTTTCAACGTTACGACCAACTAAGTCCGTCTTTATGTCCGACCTGATAATTACGCGGGTTGCACCATTTTCTATATATCAGATAATAATCTGGCTCGTTTATTTAAGATTATGTTCCTAATAGAAAATAAACTGATCACTTTGTTAAATATTGATCAGTATTGTGTCGTTTTATAATCTGTGTATTAAATGTACTTTTATAAACCGTCATCCAACGCTCTATTCAAGATCAATAAACTGAGCGGCAGTGGAAATCTCTCTGCTGATTGGCTGTTATTCTGTTGGAAGACACGTGATTGGTCGGTTTTAAACTCCGTCCTCTCATGGACTTCCTGTCAGCTTCCAAAATAAGACTGTCTGTTACCACTGCTACGGCGAGCTGAACTGAGATGCGAGACGCCGCGAGGCAACGTGAACCTGCTACGCTCTGATGACATGATAACGCCAGATTTTGACCTGAGGAGGAGTGGGGATCCTTCACGGCCGTAACACCGCCCCCCGACACACACACACACACACACACACACACACACACACAGTAACACACACACTCTGGATTTACTACAAACTCTGTACGAGCGAAAATTTCTTCCATCTGACTGAACAGGATGCTTCAGTCTGCTGCCAACCGACGAACTGAACGCCGTCCAAACACACGGCCCACGCACACATGCATCGAAAACACGGCTTCACCCCGGCACTGCCAACACACACACACACAGTAACACACACACACACACACACACACACACACACACACAGTAACACACACACACACACACACGCAGGCAGATCGTTGCTACAAATAGACCTGGAACGCCTGTAACATCCACCATAGCTGGCATACTCTAACACACATACACACACACACACACACACACAGTGCGGCAAAAATAACCGAGACGGTGGATTCCTGCTCTGAGTGACGGGGGGGCGGACATGGACGACGGATGATGCAACTGAGTGAAAGAGACGAAGGTAGAACAGGTCACAGCTCTTTAAAGAGGATTCAGGTGAGCTCATCCTTTACACCAAACCCCATTCAAAAAAACACTCCTTTTACTTCACTGATCAAATTCGGTTGATTTGTGGACACATTGAGGCCAACTGCATCAACTTAAGCGAAGTCGGTCGCAACCTTGCGGTTAAATCCGATCTAATAGTTACGCCAGTAGCCCCATCTAGTCTTCTTCTCACTTACACAGTAAATCTTACATTCAATTTAATTAAATTAAGTTTTTTTTGTATACCACCAATTCATAACAGAAGTTATCTCAGGACACTTTTCAAATAGAGCAGGCACCGAACTCCTTATAACATTACCTCTCACCAGGAGACGACTCAAAGTTTGTTTCTTAAATGAAGGCTGAACAAGTTCTCTTCAACTAATTTCTCTGAACCTCCATAACTGTCCACAAATTAGCAGCGGGAGACTGTTAGCAATGTATGCTAGCAACGCATACTGGTAGACAATACTCGCACGTCGCGGACCAGGCATAGATGTCAGTTTATTGAGTCCTTTACATCCCGTCCCTGCAAGAAACTTTTAATCTACACAGTTGCTTTAAAATTGGTTTTGGTTATTTTTTACATTTTGACCAAATAAAGATCAGTTTCAGTCAGTGTGATATTATTATTCACAGATTGTAGCTTTTTTAAATATAATCTTCTGTTTTATTTCCAGAACAAAAAGAAAATAAGGAGGAATGTTGGTTATGTAGTAATTATATAAACTCTTGTAACTGTATAAAATATATGAATATTGAAGAGCTGACAGATGGTTGAACTGTACGATGTTTACTGCTGTATTCATTTCACAAACTGTTTGTTTCCTGTTCTAAAAGGGAAGAAATGGACCGACTGTACGGAAGATCAAAAGGAAATATTCATTATAGCAGAGTACACACACACATGCACAAACACATGCAAACATGCACACCTCCTCCTCCTCCTCCTCCTCCTCTCTACACAAACACATCACAGTGTGAATGAGACGCCAGAGAAAATGTTGCTTATATTTGGGGCGCTGAATGTTTATGTAATCCTCTCCATATTAACTGATCCCTACCCCCTGCTGAAAAGAAAGGAACATGTTAAAGGTTTACAGAGAACAAAACAGAAAAAAATAACAGCAGAGAAAAAGAAAATTGTGGGGGAGCTACGTGGCTAAATAAAAATAAAAAGAATGAAACATCAGATATGAAGGGAGAGGACAAAAGCATCGGGGGTGGGGTAAAAAAGAAGTGTCCAAATGTTATATATACCTGTGTGCTCATATTTGTGTCTTAGGAGGGAACTGGTCTTCTGGAATGTTTTGTCGCACAAGTCACACGCGTACATACCACTTTCAGTCTTCTTAATCTTCTTCCTGGAGAGCAGCGAATCGCTGTCTGTCAGGTCGTCCAGGCCTGACAGATAGTCCGCCGTCCCGTCCAGCAGCTCCCCCTGAGACACAAAGACAGATCGTTTTGATAATCCCACACCTGTCGAGACACCTTCTGCTCCAACCCCCCACCGCCTCTGTGATCCCAAGTCTGGACAGAGCTTAAAAGCCCAACCTGGGTAAGTCCCCTTCATCCAGCAGACTCTTTAGAGAAGGGGGGGACATATGGGACGGGAGGTTATGAATGAAGTGTTGCGATTGTGTTTAGTGATTCCATCACGCGACCGAATTGGGTCAAATACCTGCGAAGTGTTCTGGCTGCCCCGCGGTCACCAGGGCTCAATGCTCACGATTCCTCAACAAACCCAAAATCACACTGGCAGGAAGTCCCGGAAACAGCGAGAGAACTGGTCAATTTTCAAAATAAAATACCCTGAAATTTGACGGTTTCGTTTTCAAGAACAAAAGTCATCGGGCGACAATTGAAGACGCATTGATGACGAAACCGCATCATAAAGACGAGACGTCATAAAGACGTGCCTGGTGGGATTTCAGCTTTAGCAGTGTCTTTCTCAGCAGAGTCGCTGAGATGTTTAATATAAAGAATTATAAAGGTTCAAACTCTTCTGAGTGTCTTTCAAAGGAAAGTTGACTCTTGATAAAGAGTGGTTGATGGGGTACTAGGCATCAGCATTAAAGTTGGAGTCAGTAATTCTGGAGAAAGATAGTTTGATTGTTGATATATATCATATGTTATAAGACAATATTAACATATATGCTAATATTGTCTTAGTTAGTATTCCCAGGTCGTCACCGACACTTGGGGTTATGGTAAATGGGAGCCAAACAAGGCGTTCCCAGGTTGTCAAACAGCGATGCTATGCTATATGCTATGTCTGTATTTTCACGATCAACTACTGTATGTTTCTCCAGAATCTAAATCCCCAGTTTGAGTACGGCCGGAGATGTTGCATCTCCCTCCCCATCATTTGTTCATTTTCTCTCTACTGTTGGCTGTCTAATGTAGCCGAAAATACATGTATAATAATTATACTTGTTAAAATATATGAAAAAGAAAAATATATGATCTAAAGCAGCAGCTGCTAATTAACCTTTTGGTGAGATTGTTTTGTCTGGTTTGGTGATAAATGTGTATGAATTAGTGCTGTCAGTTTAACGCGTTATTAACGGCGTTAATGCAAACCCATTTTAACAGCGTCAATTTTTTTATCGTAAGATTAACGCCTAGCACTCTTTGTAGTTTTTTTCACATGCTGTTGCAACAACTAGTAACGTTAGAAAAACTACAACACCACACCGGATCTAGCTAGACCGGAAACAAAACAACAGGCACACCGCACACACTTGTTTAAGAGAAGTAGTAGAAGTAATGTTTTTAGTGGATGGCGAGCGCGAGACGCCGAAATGGATGGATTCCTTGTTGTCTGAAAATGTCAACAGGCTTGTCTGTTTGAGTAACCGGCTCAAAGCAAAGAAGTAGTAGGCTTACCTTTTACTGGTAACCGTTACTGTTCATTCTTTCTGAAATAAGAGGCTGGGTTGAGCCTCTGGTGAATAAAGAGCAGTAGCCTGACTGCTATGTTCAAAGCAAACTTGAGAAAAGTATTAAGCCACGGTTTAACTGCACTATAGGCTGAGTCATTTAGAATAGATAAAAATGTGCGATTAATTGCGATTAATTTCGAGTTAACTATGACATTAATGCGATTAATCGCGATTAAATATTTTAATCGTTTTACAGCACTAGTATGAATATACAATAAACTGGGATCTCTATATACACATCACAGCAGCACCATAAACAGGTGAGGCGAGGGGTCGCGCCGCTATCCACTATTGGACGCTTGTAGTCACATTAATCAACAAAAGTCTACGACCTCCTACAACTGCACCAACACATCTGGTTGCACCTGAATGGACGAACTGTTTTTGGCATCTCTCGCATATTTTAGATCGACAACAGTTAGTTCAAAAGTTTTTCTGGAGTTTCCAGATGCAGCAATTTGCGCTGACAGACGTCCCTGATTTGCATAAAGTAACATGGACCGTTACATTAGGCGAATGAGGAGTGGCCGATGTGATGAGATGTGTAATGTGGTCGGGGTGAATGGTTTTAATTACCTAAACCATAGAGGGTCAACAGTCAGAAGGTTTTATTCCAACCTAAGAAGCCACCACTGATTAGCACTACTCCAAGTAGAGGGGAGGGACTCATTATCTATTGAGGTGATCAGTCGGATCTGGTTGGCATCCTCTGACCTAAACTAAACCAGACTTTAACCATAGAGTTGGAATATAAAGAAACAACCATATAAGTACATTTTGGAAAGCCCTGACAAATGACCAGATGTGGAACCAAGTCATTATTTTTTAAGTCCAAAGTATGTTCAGAAGGTCTTTTTTGATTTTGTCAGGTCGAGTCTAAATCAGTGCCTGCAATGGGCCGGTGCTCACCAGTACTGACACTTCAGAAAGTACCATTACGTCTTGTGGAGTACCGCAAGCAATTAAATTTGTGACTCAAGTCATGTGACTCAGCTCCACACCTCTGCAAAGGACCATCATGGACAATATCTAGATTGTAGTTTTACCTGGAAACCTGGTTTCCGTTGGTACTTTCTCCTTTGTTGCATTTCAGCAAATGTGGTTGCCCCGGTGGCGTAGGTGTAGGCCATATGGGGCAGGAAGCTCATGGGGTCGAGGCCTGGGTAGGGCCTGAGGCCTGGGATGGTGGCCTGGGCAGGAGACATGAAGGTGGGTGGAGGAAACGCCCCGTGAGGTGGCAGAGAAGTGTAGCCAGCAAAGGGATTAATCCCAAAGATGGGACTGGTGCTCTTCTCCAGCTGGTGGACGGAGTTCCCTCCACCATCAGAGCCCAGGACCTCCTTCTTGATGTTGCCCAGATCTAAGGGTCCTTGTGCCTCACCATTGCGCTCAGTGATGAAACCGTTGGGCCTGGGTCGCTTCTCTCCAACAGAGATGAGCTTCTGCGCCATATGTTTGGGTAGTGACAGATCCAGTGGTATATCCCCATGGGCATCCTCAGAAGCTAGGCTGTTTGGAGTGTAAGAGCTACTCTGAGAGTTTTTGGAGGAAGTAGAGGAAAGGTTGAGGGGTGATGGAGTGTTGCTCCTCAAGTGGTCCAAGGGGTCTAGTGGTTTGTCCCCTTTTGTCTGCCTGTTGGCTGTAAACTGGTTGGCCTTTGTGAGTCTGTGGGAGGCGTCACCATTAGTGAAGCCTCCGTGTAAATCTACAGCAGGTGAGCGGCTCAAGCTGTGGTTGACGTCCAGTCCGCTGCGGTCGGGAGGGGGCGACTTTTTCCTCAGACTGCCTCCAAAGTGGTTTTGGCTCTTCCACTGGGCAAACCACTCCTTGACAAACTCTTGAGGAAGGCCTACAGCAATTGAAATCTTGAGCAGTTCCTCGGAGTTGGGCTCAGTGTTCATGGCAAAATAGGCTTTGAGCACTGACACGTGGTCCTTGAAGGGGTTGATGGGGCTGGTGGCCCGCTCGTTACTGGACAGCTCAGAGGGCATTGAGCCCCTGCGGCCGCCAGGACTGCTCTCAGCCGGCTGCAGGACTGCTTTGATCTCCTCGTTCATTTTACACAGGTAGCGCTCATGTTGATGCAGTGGGATGGGCCCAGGGAAGGTCTCCTTGCAGTACTGGCAGGAGAATGGCAGGAACTGGTTCTGGCTGTTGTGGGATTTCTCCTCACCGCCAAGATCAACTGAGTGGTTTGGCTTCTCCTTCTTGACGTCTACTTGCCTCTTGGAGTCGTCAATCAGACTCTTGGCCTCGTTGACCTTCTCCAGCGTGTAGTCAATGATGCTCTTTGTGGGGCTACCATGGCCCACCACCTGGAAGCCAGCCTGGGCCAGCTTATGCTCCTCCATCTGGGCCCCCAGTTCCTTCATGTAGGCCCTGAGCTTGGAGATCTCCTCTGGGTTCCCGTCCATCTTCTGCCGGCACACAGTGTTGTCCACGATCTGAAGCACCTTCTGCACCTCGCTCAGGTTGTTTCCGAAAGGCCCTGCGTAGCCCAGTAGGGGGAGCTCTAACCCCATGCCTCCCAGATGTTGATGGGGGCTCTGGGAGGAGCTGTGGATGCCCAGTGGGCTTCCTCCGCGTCCATTTAAGTAAATGCCCGCTGCTCCAAACCCATGCTGAGAGGCCATCAGCAGCCGGTACTCGTTGAAGTCCATCGGCTCGGCTTTGATGTCCAGCTGACCCTGCTGGTCCAGAGGGCAGAGCGGTCGCCCGTTTTCCAGTTTGTGGCGGAGCTGGGCGAGGGCGGGGCTTCCAGGCGATGAGTTGGTGGAGTTGGGGGAGGAGCCAGGTTTGCTGTTGTTGCCATTGCGTACTCGTCCATTGACAGCGATCAGGCCGATGCATTTCTTGCTGCTGATGTGGGAGCTATATGAGCCGGAGTGGGAGAATCGCTTCTTACAGTTGGAGCACTCATACGGCTTTTCGCCTGCAACAAACATGAAATATGGATTATTGTTTAATGCTACATAAAGCCTGGCTGATCATGTTTACAGATTTTATTCAGCGGGTAAAAATGGTTTGGTGATAGTTTGAGCTACTATATGTACCATTTGGGCACTTTTTGCAGATATAAAGTCAGTTTATTATCATGGATGTTAATTATTTTATTAAGATTAGCATGGCACTAATAGGCTAAATTCAACTAGAATCAGTTTTTTTCCCTTTTCAAATATGTAACAAAATCCTTGTAAAAGTTTAGTGGGAAATTATTTAGCCATGCTAGCAGAGGATGGTAATGTCCGTCTGTCTGTCCTTCACTCTGAAATATCTCAACAATGTGATGAAATGTGGTTTGTTTATACCAATTACTTAATGTTGAATAATGTCCCTTGGCTTGGGAGTTGTGCTGTGTGCTAGGTTGCTAATATCACAAGTCAAAACATGCTAGCTTCAGTGCAGGGGTCCTGCCTTGGAGCAGCTTCCAGTGAACACAGCTGGACCCGGGGCCAAACACAATCTCAGTCTGACAAGGAATCCAGCACAGAGGTGGTTTTCTTGCCGAGTTTGGCTCCTGGCATCCAAGGGCTGAGTCAGTTAGCTTAGCTGCCCAGCGGACCAAACGGCAGTTAGCGGTTGGCTACTGATCAATCTGTCCATCAGGAACTCTGTAAATGACCTTGGTGCTGTAACTTTATTCCCTGTCGGTCTTCAAGGCTGTGTTGGATCCTGGTCCGGCTGCTGAGCCCGGTTCGGTCGCCTACTAACGGCAGCTACAGTTAGCAGCAGCTAATTAGTGGTTAGCAACATTAGCTAAAGCTATCTGTCCATCAGGAAACTCTGTAAATCACAGAGAGTTGAAGTTGAGCAGCCGGAGGACATCAGAGGGAAAATCAGGAAATATTTTCTCCATAAAATCTGATCCAGTTTAACAAAATCACTGAAAACAGTTAGAAAGCTGAGCAACAACTTTTCATTGTTTTACAGGAATCTACCATTTATACCTAAACAATGACTGTCTGTCAATGTTGGACAGATACTGGAGGACAGGAGACGCCTGAGATAAAAACACATTGATCCTGACTTCATGGGGACTTTAATCAGACACATAAATGCACATTTTTCTCCTTGTACAATAGCATTTCCTGTATAGTTTTTCTTTTTCTACTTTCATGTAGAATCTGCAGGTTTGAGCCTCAGTCAACACAATATCTATTCAGCAGCCTCATAGTGAATTGTGGCAGAATGACTGGACACAATGTGTGAATATGAATCATCCTGTACAGCATTAGTGTCTGTGCTGTAAAGGGAAATGTACCAGAGAGAGATACAATCAATGTTTGTTAAGGATTGTGTTCAGCTTTGATGTCACATCTGAAACAGGTTGACTGACTCTTCAGAAAATGTCATGAGTCACTAAGCTGATTATTAATTATAGGACGAGGAGGAGGGACGACTCACCGCTGTGAATACGAAGATGCTCCTTCAGGTGATGTTTGTATTTGAAGGCTTTTCCACATTCGCTGCATTTGAACTTGCGGTTTCCAGCTCCTTCGTTCAGCAGCGGCGGCTGCAGACAGAGAAACAAACAGTTATCATGTGACGGAGGACGAGTGGGAAGCAGATTACGAGGCAGTGGAACTGTAATAGTATTTAGTGAAGCAGATCTGATAGCGGCAGGAAGATTCTTTAAGTCTCTTTATCTGCAGCACTTTCTGAGAAACAGTGTGGGCTGACTCTGTTCAGAGGTGGCAGGCTGTGCTGAAGGTGCATTCCCAGCGTTTGAAATGCAAATGGAGAGATAAACAAACACAAACAGCATTGGGGGGAGACAGCGTTCCCCCCCAGACAGCAGCAGAGCCCAGAGACAGAAATCACTTCATTTAACATGCAGATGATTGTTGGAGAGGAGATAAACTCTACTATATAGAAAAGAACCATTTAACAGGAGGAAAAGTTTGTTTTTCTTCTCTTTGAATTTCATTGAAACCAAACCAAAGACATAAAAACAGGAACAGAAATCAGTGTGAGGAAGAACAACGAAACTGTGATAATTCATCACCATCAAAGACCCATAAAGACATATTTATAGCAGATAGAATAAGACCTGAAGTGATGAGCTCTCTGTATGTGTCAGACAGATATCTTTACAGCGCTGTGGTCAGCTGGAATTCACTGCTAGTGCAGAATACGGATCAGTTCAAATGTTTATTAAAACAATACCTGCAAGTATTCAAAAACTACAGTTAAACTGAGTTTGTGTGTAAATTAAAATGTGAACCTGGGTGAAAGTAAAAATCCCCTCAGCAGAATGTGAGCGGTTGAATATCCTGTTATTAGTAATGAATATGGAAAGCACTGAAGGATTTCCACTATGATTCTTTAAGAAGAACTTTGTATTAAATTTGTATTAATAAAGAAAGTTTTTTATGAATTCTTAAGAAAGTGTGATTGATTTATTTTTAATGTGTTGAATTTGTGTGTGTTTATGTGGTAACAGTGTGTATAAGTGTGTATGACTAATAAACACTTAAGGAGTGATGGTAACCTCTGCAGTACGTCTGCAGCCACTTGCTGTCTGTCAGAGGCTTCAACACTTTAAAGCTGCTAATAGGAACTACATGTTAATTATTCATATGAGGCTAGAAGACCTGATGCTGCATTCACAGGCAATCGGACAAACTGGAGGTCGTGTTAGTGGACGAGAGGACGGTGAACTGAGGTGAGCCTGGCTGTCCCTCACAGTGGACGAGCTGGACAACGAGACGCTAATAATGAATAAAGAATATTTAATAATAATAATAATAATAAGGACATCACCATAGCAACATGTTCTGTGACGTCCGTCTGTATGAATTATGTGAATGCAGCGTTCAGCTGGTACCAACCTGATCCTGCTCGCTAGTGTCAGGAAGGATGTAAGAACTGGTTTATTATTAATAATCAAACTTTAGATATTGAGTTGTTTATTGGCTTCAATCAGTGAACTCACGCTAGAAATAATCTGTACTCCTCAGGTTTGATCAGTAAATTTAACAATGTTTCAGTTTCAATTCAAAACTGTTTGAATTTCAGATTTTTATCCGCCGCCGCTGCGAACCTGAACCTGAATCTGAACCTGAACCTCAATCCGAACCAGAACCTCAACCAGAACCAGAACCTGAACCTGAACCTGAACATCACTACAGACAATATTCACAGCTCTGATTAATGTTAATGAGCCTTTGACTCTGCTGATGAGTGGACTGTAGACTGTCTGTACAGTTATTTAATATCACTGTAAACAGACTTTATTCAGAGGTTGGGAGTCTGTTGTTTGTCCATGTTGATAAAGTTTAAACATTTATATCTGTGTAGGAGATCTGAGCAGCTTTAAGAGGTTTTATACGTCCAGATCATTTCTATACCGTCCAGACTAGGACTCTAAAGGGGACCTGAGTCAGCTTTAATAATACAAACCCAATAAAATAAAAGAATCTCCGTGCTGTCACAGTTCACTGATAGATGGGACTGAAGGGCGGCGGGAGCTCACTGCAGTCCCTCCTCCTCCTCACATCCAGTCACCATCATCACTAATGACTCAGCACTTTCTGAAGCTGCTCGTTTTATTTGTTTCCACTGAAGTCCTCAGATCGGTTGGATCCAGTTCAATAACATTTATTTATTATTGATCAGCTCAGATCCTCCAGTCTGTTTCCGTTGTATACTGGAATTATATTTCTATCTCCTATATATTGTATTAATCAGAATATAGTTGATTTTATATGTTGTTAGATATAAATTATTATAATTATAATTAGGGACCGAGCCAGCGACCGCTGGAGGTCCCTATTGTATTTGCTATGTTTCTTCTTTTTAAAATTGACTTTTCGTATATGTTCAGGGGGGCAAAAACGCAATCAAAAGTGCTAAAAATAATAAGTAAATCTGAAATTCAAACAGTTTTGAATTGAAACTGAAACATTGTTAAATTTACTGATCAAACCTGAGGAGTACAGATTATTTCTAGTGTGAGTTCACTGATTGAAGCCAATAAACAACTTAATATCTAAAGTTTGATTATTAATAATAAACCAGTTCTTACATCCTTCCTGACACTAGCGAGCAGGATCAGGTTGGTACCAGCTGAACGCTGCATTCACATAATTCATACAGACGGACGTCACAGAACACATTCACCATTAAAATTTGTGCTATTCACGTTATTCCGTCAAACTTCGTGGATGTGGCGTGGCGTCCCGAGTCGTGCAATTTCAAACCTTCACCATGAAAGAGGGATTCGTCATAACTTCTGCGTACATGATCCGACTGCAACGAAACTTGACATGTTCGATAAGAGTCCCGCCCTGAACACGTCCATGTGATAATATTCAGTAATAGTCAGAGCGCCACCTAGTGGCAACAGGAAGTATCACGTTTTATACTTTCATGTTCTACTCCTAGCAGGATGATAAGACCGAGAAATGTACTTATAAAATGCAAAACACATTGTTGATGATATGTGATGACTGCGGAGAGGGGGCGTGTCTGTGGCATGGCGAGATTTTGAGGTATCGCCACAAAACACGAATTTGCTATAACTTGAGTGTACATTGTCCAATCGGCTCCAAACTTCACTTGTCTGATAAGAGTCCCGCCCTGAACACATAGTGATAGCGCCACCTAGTGGCAACAGGAAGTAAGTGCTGCGTGGTGATTTTGAGCCGATTTACGCGACATTTTCGTGTTCTGGTCCGCGCTTGTTACGTCGGCGCTTGACGTGGCCGCGGCGCACCCCGACGGCGTTCGTGACTCTGCCGCGGCACGCCCCGACGCGCGCCGGTGTGCGAGATCCCGTCCAACGCTGCTTGCAGCTTTAATTATTATTATTATTGTCCACCACCAGGATCAATAAAGTATTTCTTTAATTTAAAGAACTTCCTGTGATTTGGTTAATATTTCTATTAACTGTGCAGCTCTAGAAGAAACATATTCATGTGTATAAATATTTGTATATAATTTGCAGTAACAGGATGAACAATATCCTGATATGATTGATATTAAAGGTCAATAAATGGAGCTGTGTTGGTGCCTCCGTCCTCGGTGACTCTCACCGGCTCTCTTTAACAGTTTAACTCAGAGGAAGTACACATATAAACAAGCACTTAAAGTCATTTGGGGATTATGGTAGTTTAAAGCAGCAGCAGGAAAAGACCATCTGCTGCTGGTTACAGCAGGGAGGGGGGGTCAGGTATGGAGGAAATCTCATTATGATCACAGTCTAATTGGAAAATTGAATGATTCACTGCTTCGTTACCGACTCTAATGTGAGTTTTGGATCGTGAGCGGCAGCAAACAGGCGTGTGCAGGAAACATTTATCACAGCTTATTATTAGATTACCATTCAACACCCTCCACACGCTGCTGGAAACGGCACATATCTCAAACAGGAGTCTTTATTACTGATTTATAATCAAATCGGTCCCAGTTTCACTTCCAGCAGCCGATAAAATACAGCCAGGTTTTCAAAATATAACTCGGGATTATTAGGGACCTCACCAGCGACCGCTGGAGGTCCCTATTGTTTTTGCTTCGTTTCTTCTTCCCTATTTTTAGCACCATTGATTGCATTTTTGCCCCCCTGAACATATACGAAAAGTCAATTTTATTTGGCAAAGTGGTCAGGCCTGGTGGAAAATTTTATATTTTATGTTTTGCTTTCGGGTCCGCCACTAGGTGGCGCTACTATCATGAAAAGTGCGTTTAGGCTAATAACTCCTGCATCGTTTGTCACACATTCAAAAAACATATATCCACGCGTTTGGTGAATGGAGCTGAATCTTGCTATATAGGCCCCGCCCACTTACGCCTCAAATTTTTTTTCGTTAGAGCGCAAAATATCCTTAAACTACTTTTTCATGTTCCTCCTACATGCTTTGTCCGATTCGCACGAAATCTTTCACCTAGCACCTGGGGACCGCCCTGGCAGAAAGTAATTTGAAAATTTTTGAAATTTCAAAAAATAAGAACGCTATGAAATTCAAACTTCCTGTAGATTTTTCGTCAAAAAAGGAAGTGGACCATTTCTCCACATTGGTATGTCCGATTGACATCAAACTTGGGTCCTTAGTTCCTCATGTCTTCCTTAGGCATCGTGCACAATTTCAGGCCATCGCCTCTAGGTGGCGCTCTTTAAAATGAAGAAGTCTATATCTTCATAACGGCACATGTGATTGAAATGAAACTCGGGATGATGCTTGCCCATGGCTTCCTGAGGCTTGCTAAAAAATGTGTCAACAATCCGCCACTAGGTGGCGCTCTGGTGGCATGGTAAATCACTGTACGGAGACTGTAATAGTTATGAATATGAAATTCACAGGGACGTGTAGAGTGGTGCCTGAAGCTCACATACCAAAAATCGTGTTTGTCGTGTTTGTAGCCGCCCCTACAGGATAAAAAAACTGCAGCCCCGGTGCCACGTTTCACCGATATGTACGAAACTCAGTAGGCACGTGTAACATGTCGGGACATACAAAAAAGCCTCTTGGACCCATACCCGAAACCCCACAGGAAGTCGGCCATTTTGATTTTCATTTTCACTTTCTGTGAATTTTCCGCGTTGTATTTGAACAAACTCCTCCTAGGGAATTTATCGGACATGCTTAAAAATTTGTGAGTACAGTCAAAAAATGGTGCTGATTAAAAGTTGTGCTATTTGTGCATGTACATTAAAGGGCGTGTCCGTGGCGTGCCATCAAAGTTGGTCAGGTTGAATCAAATGTGAAACTGTGATGCCATTTCCGATATTTTGCAATGATTTTCAGCATTTTTTTGCGTTGTATTTGAACGAACTCCTCCTAGAGGATTTATCAGATCTGCTTCAAAATTGGTCAGTACAGTCAAAAAATGGTGCTCATCAAAAGTTGTGCTATTTGTGACTGTACGTTAAAGGGCGTGTCCGTGGCGTTCCCTCAAAGTTGGCCAGGTTGAATCGAATGTCAAACTGTGATGCTATTTCTGGCATTTAAGGGCTTCTGTTTTAACTAACTCCTCCTACAGATTTTATCAGATTGACTTCAAATTCGATCACTTCAATCTACACACATTGGTTATCAAAGGTCGTGCTATTTGTGACTGTATGTTTAACCGTGTGCCCGTGACGACGTGTCGAATTCCACTGATTGGCCATCAAACAGATAGTACTCATCTTCAGTGTACAGTCCCACCCTGAACACGTCCTCATAACTTCAGCGTACATGATCCAATCTCAATGAAACTTCACGTGTTTGATAACAGTCCCACCCTGAACACGTCTACATGACAATATTCAGACATAGTGATAGCGCCACCTACGGGCAACAGGAAGTAAGCGCTGCGTGGCGATTTTGAGCTGATTAACGGCAGATTTTCATGTTGTGGTCCGCACGTGTTACGACGGCACGGGACGCGGCCGCAGCACGCCCCGAGTTGCGTGGAGTGCGAGGTCCCGCCCAACGCTGCTTGCAGCTTTAATTATTATTATTATTGTATTATTATTCTGTTTCTGTTCACTTTGAATGAAGTTACGATGATCTGAAGTTACCAAGCTCCTCTCCTGTGGAACCAGCTTCCAGTTGTGGTTCGGGAGGCAGACACCCTCACCACATTCAAGAGTAGGCTTAAAACATTCCTCTTTGATAAAGCTTATAGTTAGGGCTGGATCAGGTGAGTCCTGAACCATCCCTTAGTTATGCTGCTACAGGCCTAGACTATCGGGGGATTTCCCATGGTGCACTGAGCTCCTCCCTTCCTCTCTCTTTCTGCACTCATTCATGTTCCATTAATGCATGTTAGTAACTTCACTTCTTCCCCTGAGTTCTTGTGCTTTCTCGTCTCACAGGTTCTTATCGATCCTGGTGGAGCCTCCTGCCATGGTCCTGCTAGATTGCCATGGCCAATACTGTTGTTGCTGTGCACCTGTCTGTCTGTCTGTCTGTCTATCTCTCTCTCTCTCTCTCTTTCACCCCAACTGGTCGAGACAGACGACCACCCACCTAGAGCCGAAGGATCTGTCCTAGGTTTCTGCCTTTTAACAGGCAGTTTTTCCTTGCCCTTGTCGCCAAGGTCTTGCTCATGGTGGTACTGTTGGGTCTCTGTAAATAATGTTTTAAAGAGTTCGGTCTAGACCTGCTCTATTTGAAAAGTGTCCTGAGATAACTTCTGTTATGAATTGGCGCTATACAAATAAAATTGAATTGAATTGAATTGAAGGTAAAATTAGTGTTTCTGTCTATGGAGTCTGGTGGAGAGTGATAGTTATATTACGGCTGTTTGTGGTTAAACTAAAGGTCTGTCTCTGTAGGGATCCTTTCCATAATGCTGTCAGACACTGAGAATACGATGCACAGAACCACAGAAGAAGAGAAAGGTGTGCTGTACCTGGTCTGTGGTGGGTTTGTGTGTGGTCATGTGACGCTCCAGCTGAGCGCGGTGGCTGAAGGTGTCAGCACACAGCGGGCAGCTGAAGCTCTCCTCGTTCTTCTCGTGGCGATATTTGATGTGTTCCTTCAGAGACGTCAGGCGCTTGTAGCCGCGGTCGCAGTACGGACAGGTGAGCAGCTGGGCGAAGTCGTCAGGTGTGCCGGACAGCAGGTCTGCAGCCAGAGGGAGAGGTCAAAGGTCAGGAGAAAGGGTCAGTGTAACAGACTGCCTTGTTGATTCTTATGATTTTATTCATCTTTCTTTGTTTGTCTGATCTTTTTACTTTTATTTTTCCCAACATCTGTTTGCTAAAATAATAATTTAATTTATAATTCATATTTTTGTTTCGTTTTCATAAATAAAGTCAGTTTGTATTAATGTATATTTTTTACGTTATATTTATGATGTTTGTAGTTTTTACCATGCTCGCTCTCGTCCTGTCCGATGGCCTCGGGCGTGCCCAGTCGTGTCACCTCCTCTGGGGCTTCTGGGTAAATTATGGCGGTGTCACTGCGCTGCAGGTATTCGGCGATGGTTGCCGGGTGACCGTCGCTCTTGTCCAGTTTACGTTTCAGGAAATACTCGTCCAGCTCGGAGACGCCTTTCACTGATCACAGGAAACAGGTGATGAGTTCAGGAGGTTCTTAGTTGAGTTTAGTTTAAATAAACCTTTTGTTTAATAAGAAACCTGTGCTATATATATAATATAAATATTATTATATTATATATTTTAAATGTGAACTATAGAGGACCCAGAATCCTGCCCTGTGGGACACCTTTATTTCAAGAACTATTGGAAACTACTGATTTGCTTCTTTTAAAGGAGTTTTTCAACAGGAACAAACTGTAACTTAACAATGATCAATTATATCTATATCATAACAATATATATATATATATATATATACATATATAAGGCAGGAAAAGCAAAATAGGGAAATAAAAAACAAACGAGTCGAAATGGGATACTGAATGTTATTTTTATTAACTGTTGACTTGGTCACATTATGAGATACTTTTACAGGGAAAATAAAGTGAAGTGATGTGAAATTAGTTTCCAATAAAAAATGATTAAATGAATGAAACTGAAAAAAATCCATATTTTTCCCATAATAAGTATTATTAAAAAAACTTTCTTTCAAGGAAACTTCCTCATTTGTCATCAGAAAATTACGACCTGTTAAAGAAAACATTACGTCAGAATTATGAGAAAAGAAACTGCAGGAAGTTGTGAACCTTTGACCAACCATCGTTGTTTCCCATAAACTAATTTCACTTTATTAGAATCTCAAAATATGACCTAATAAGTTAATTCAGATATTATTCACTATCTCGTTTTGAGTGTTTTGTTTTTCGTTCCTTGTTGTTGATATTTTTTGTTAAAATATTTTTTTCATAATTAATAAATAAATGTTGTTAAAAACTTTAAAAGAAGTAAATCAGTAGTTTCCAACAGTTGTTAAAGTGAAGGCGTCCCACAGGGCAGGATTCTGGGTCCTCTCACAAGGTAGTTTACAACAATGATTACTAACTACTATTAACACTATTATTACTATTACTACTATTACTACTATTGCTACTATTATTACTATTATTACGAGTACTAGGGATTTTATTCTCACTCGAACAAGTTTCCTTGAATTATACAAAAACATTTAAATGGTACAATTTTCAGTTATCTGATGATGTTAATGGGGGACTAGGGTGGGGTAATATGATCATATCTATGTGTTTATGTTTTTTTAAACATACATAGATGATAATAAAATTAATTATTGATCTCACCTGAACCGTTCCCCGCTGCCTCTGGACCGAGAGGTTCATACTCGTCCTTCCTGTCATCTGTTAAATAAAACAACAGAAAACAGAGATATTTATCTTCCTCCTCCTCCTCCTCCAGGGGTGTTTGGATGATCGGAGGCCTGAGTGCTGCTGCAGGCGGTCTAACAGAACCACAATCTGAAGGTATTTTCCATATAATGAGTGAAAGCTCAACTGTGGCCTATTGTGTTTGTTCCTCCTGGGCCTCCTCATGTGACTCCTCAACAGGAGTCACAAGTATCATAAGCTTCATTCAGCCCATCAAAGGAGGGACACACCTCCTCCTCCTCCTCCTCCTCCCACAACAACAGACAGGGCGAGCGAGAGGGTGAGGAGGGAGGGGGTGAGGAGGGAGGACAGCAGAATAAATACATGTGTAATTTCACTCACAACCATAAAAGCTCATTATTTTATTGACTTTATAAATATGTGACTCACATTTAATTATAATGTAAATATAATATTTTAATATCAGCAGCTTCATCTGCAGCGACTTATTGATGACAGCAATTTTTTCATTAAATCCATCAGATCTGATCAGAAACAACTTCTTTTTAGGATGTTTGTTTCCTTATGAAAACGTCTGTAAATTAGCTTTAGCTAAAGCTAGCTGTGACTAACACGTACTTCCTGTTGATGTTTACATGTTCACACAAAGTGTTGACTGTTGGGGGAGGAGCTAGCTGCTAGCCACAAGCTAACAGTAAGGTTTAATATTATGTCCATTTTAAAGTTTAAATAAAGTTTAAATCAGCAGTTACAGTGTTTTCTTCCTCCTGTTGTTGTTGTTGTTGTTGTTGTAGAAAGTAAAATGGAGTCTTTGTGTTTTCATTCCTCTTTTTTTTTCTTTCCTCGAGAGACAAGATGGAGGAATAATAACTGTTTCACTTCTTCTTCTGTTTGTGGTTCAAATGTTTCTGAGTCAACAGCTTCTATCTGTCTGTCTGTCTGTCTGTTTGTCTGTCTGTCTCTCAGTCTCTCTCTCTGTCTGTCTGTCTGTCTGTCTGTCTGTCTGTTGGTCTGTCTGTCTGTTTGTCTGTCTGTCTCTCAGTCTCTCTCTCTCTGTCTGTCTGTCTGCGATGGTGACGGTGACGGTGGCAGAGAGGAGGACACTGGACAAACTGCTGGACATTACTGACAATGCCAGCCACCTAGGGTTGCCATTTCCTTCACATCAAAAAGGAGGACACTTTGCATACACGGGGACACGCAAGCAGATATTTGTTTGGTATGATCCAGTTTTATATTTTAATGTTTTTCCACCAGATTACATAAAGGTGCATACACATACCACATAGCTAATAATAAATATACAAGATACAGCTCTTGACAACGTGCCCTTCAGATTCAGATTACATATGAGCATTTTCAGAATTTCAGTCCAACAACCGACGTTAGCTCACGTTACGTTCTCTGTAGCTGAGAGTTTGATTGACTGCCTGGTGGTAACCTAGCAACTGCGGTGATGGAGTGGCAAATCAACACATGGCTCATTTTAATATTTAAATGAGCCATGTGTTGATAGGTCAGGACACGAAAATGTAACCAATGAAATTACTTATTTTGACACATTTTTAGCCAATAAGTATTAAACTAACAAGGTAATGTGTCAAAAGGCGGACCTTTTTTGTTATTTTCTCAAAAGGAGGACAAATGAGTGTCCGGTTTAAGGCTGTGTCGCAGCCGGACAGGGTGTTTAAAAGCCGGACTGTCCGGCCTAAAGCCAGACGAATGGCCACCCTACAGCCACCCCCTGCACACCGTCATCAGCAACCAGAGGAGCCTGTTCAGTGAAAGGCTGCTCCTTCCCAAGTGTAGGACCAACAGACTCAAGAACTCCTTTGTCCCTCATGCCATCACACTCTACAACTCCTCACTCGAGGGGAGGAGGAAATAGGGTAAAGAGGACAGAAGGGAAGGAGTGGTAGCCACTCACTGTGCAATAATAATAATAATCTACTCATACATACCTGGACACTCTTCTTCTTTTTTTGTGCAATAACTTAATCCACTAAGTGCAATAATTTAATTTAACTGCTAATTTCTGCTAATGTCATTTATCCACTGTATAATAACACAATGCCATATACAGTCCTATATATTTATCTTTATTTATCTATATTTATCCTCTATACAGTTCTCTACATTTATTTGATTTGATGTGATTTTACTTTTATTCTTATCTCTACTTTCTATATTTAGCTAAGAATTTATTGTTTAGTCTCTCTCTCTCTGTCTGTCTGTCTCTCTGTCTGTCTGTCTGTCTGTCTCTCTATCTGTCTCTCTCTCAGTCTCTCTCTCTCTCTCTGTCTGTCTGTCTGTCTGTCTGTCTGTCTCTCTCTGTCTCTCTCCCCTTCAGTCTTCATTCAGCCTTATATGTCCCACCACTTCCTGTCAGGTGACTGAAGAGTCCACTCAGTAACACCAGACGAAGACGAAGTACAGGAAGTGGATCAAAACTGTTCTGATTGATTGATTAAACAAAGACATTTCGATTTGATAGTTTTTGATTTGATAAACAAAAACTCTTCATCATGGCGGACTCCGCCAGGAGGTAAACGTCTCAATTTGAGGTAACAAATGAATATTATTAATATAACAGTACAATAACACATTACATTAGAGTAATATTAAATTATTAATATCATGTTATTGATGAAATAATATTACATTAATGTTATATTATTATTATTTTACACACTGGAACTTTAATAGATAAAAAATAAGTTTTACAGTTGATTTCTCCTGATAAACATTATTTTATTATTTTTCAGTTTGATGTTTTAGGTCCTTTAGTAGAAGTTATTCGTATTAAACTGCAGTTGAAGCTCCTGCGCTCTGATCAAAAGCTCCAGAATGAGCGCCGTGCTGACTCACCGCCGCCGTTCAGGTGTCCGTTGCTGTCGTCCCCAAACCTCCAGTGGTGGTGGTTCTGGGGTCCCTCCCGGCCCTCTGAGCCCTCCGGGTCCCGGTAGGACAGCAGGGCGTGGGCAACCCGGGGCGACGCCTCCAGAGCGGGCAGGCCGGCTGGGCTGCCTGCATCTTCATCCTCCCCTCCTCCTCCTCCTCCTCCTCCACCATTAGCGAGGCCGCCGTCCTCAGAGACCAGGTTCCTGTCGTCCTCGTCTGTCTCCGAACCCGTCTCCACCACATTCTCATAGTTCAACACTGCAACACAAACACAACAGCACACTGTGAGGAAGAGGAGGAAGAGGAGGAGAGGAGGAGGAGGGGGATGAGGAGGAGGAGGGAGAGGAGGAGGAATATGAAGAGGGGGAGGCACATTCCTGCGCTGGGAGGCTTTTTCTGTGCGACTCTCAGGGGACCGAACACTAAATGTTCCATGACTGGTTCAGACGGGGGACACAGGCTGCACCAAAGCAGCCCATTAGCTTAGCTTAGCATAAAGTCTGGAAGCAGGGGGAAACAGCTAGCCTGGCTCAGTCCAAAGCTAACTAGCTGAGTAAGACGTGATATCGTGTTTACATTGTGTCAAACAGACCATCAGACAGCAGGTTGGAGGTTCAGGCCGAGTGCTGCCAGGACTTAGGAAATATTGAATTATTATTTCTCACACACGGCGTGGCAGACTGGCTCCACAGCGCCCCCCACAGCCCAAATGTAGACGGTGTGCAGATCACTGGGGCACAGTGGGAGGAAGCGCACACGGACGACTTTAACCCGTTTCTCAAGTTACGAAGAAAAATGTTACATTTTGTAAGAAATATTATAAAAGTAAGATCAATAACTGATCATCTACTTCCTGTTGGTGTGTGAGCCGGCAGAATATTTACGTCTATAATGTGATATATAATAATCCCACAGACCTGCCTCAGTCTGAGGGGGCGGAGGGGAGTAAAGCACCATGACATCATGGGAACCAGCTCTCGGGGCCGAGGTCGGCCAGAAAAGGGAACAATTTTCAGCCTCATTCTCACTCGCTGTATCCTAATAAAGCAATATTTCGACAAGCTCTCATGCGTCTTATCTGAGGAGGCGGCTGCCAGCTCAGTGGCTGCAGTGAAGCTCTTTCTCCTCCGGGGATTTTATCTGCTGCCAGTTTCCAAACTGTAAACCTTTACATCCGAGTGGCGTGCAGGTTCCCAGGAAGGGAGAATAAAATACAGCTTCTCAGGTTTTTTTCTTCTTCCCCTTCGGGTACACGGAGATTAGTCTGCATATCTGCTCATAATATGATCTTTGTCTGTGGCACTTGCCTCCCGGACAACTGCGCAACAGGTGCAAATTAAAAAGGGGATCCACGGTGGGCCGGGCCGAAATCTGCTGACCTGGGCTGAATACCAAGAGCAGGGGCGGGGGTGGAGGGCGTGGGACAAAACCGGCTTTAATAAGAGGTGTGACCGGCAGGATTTAGGGGCAGTTCAGACCGGGTAATGCCCTCTGTGATCAGAAAGAAGAAAAGAGAAAGAAAAGAAAGAGCTGAAAAGTGAGACGTGAATGCTCGTTGTGTGGTCTAAGGTATATGTTGGGATATAATATGATCTCACTCAACGACTTAACCCCAGGACCCCCCCACACATCCCCAGACCCCCCCACACATCCACCACTATTGTGCTGTTTAACTTTTGGCTGAAAATACTGTGACCTGCAGCAGCAGCAGGAAGAATATTCACTGCAGTTTGTTCACTGGCAGCAGTCAAATGTATTAAAGAATACTACAAAATAATACAAAATACTAAAAAAATACTACAAAATAATACAAGTAGTAGTAGTTATCTCTTTATTAACAGTTATAAGTTGTAATTATCTCTTTATTAACAGTTATAAGTTGTAGTTATCTCTTTATTAACAGTATTAAGTTGCACTTAACTCTTTATTAACAGTATTAAGTTGTAGTTATCTCTTTATTAACAGTATTAAGTTGTACTTAACTCTTTATTAACAGTATTAAGTTGTAGTTATCTCTTTATTAACAGTATTAAGTTGTACTTAACTCTTTATTAACAGTATTAAGTTGTAGTTATCTCTTTATTAACAGTATTAAGTTGTAATTAACTCTTTATTAACGGTTATAAGTTGTAGTTATCTCTTTATTAACAGTATTAAGTTGTAATTAACTCTTTATTAACAGTTATAAATTGTAGTTAACTCTTTATTTACAGTTATAGTTATGAATAATCTGTAGTGGATTAAAGAATCTCAGATGTGTATAATTACTATAACTGTTGTCGTGGTAAGGGATTTTCTTTATTTTTGCTGACAGAAGGTCACAGGAGTCATTCCACCTTAAAATTCCTGAGGGCTGTGATTGGTCGCTGCAGTGTGTGTCTGTGCTGTGATTGGTCGGTGTGTGCGTTGGTGGGCAGCAGGCGGACACACACAGAGGCTCTGACCTCCCAAACAAAAGACATTCATGGCGCTGTTTGCCTGCTGGGTCACATGACTCTGGCAGAGTGGCAGATGTCACCGGGGGCAACGCAGCCGGCTCATCTGAAAACACCGGCCACCATTTTGTTCCTGCACACACACACAAACACACACACACACACACACACACACCTTGCAGCTCTGTATGTTTAAAAGTTTTATTATCGATGAGTTTGACGGACGCTGTCGTCGCTCTCGCCACTCCTCCATTGTGCCGCCGCCGCGACCTGCTAATCTCACAGAGCTCTATTGTGAGCAGCCGTCACCTCTGCAGCCGTCCGGCCTTTGTGTCCATTCAGGGAGTCGAACACAAAGCAGCGACGACACACCTCCTCCCCCCTCTAACCGGGTGATTTACAAAGACACATTAATCTTCTCCCTCTCCTCCCCCGTCCTCCCTCTCCTCTCTCGTCCTCTCTCCTCCCCCCATCCTCCTCCGTCCTCCCTCTCCTCCTCTCTCCTCCCCGTGCTCCCTCTCTCCTCAAACATTTTCTCTCTGGACGGAAGAACACACTCGCACACTTTAATGCAAACAAATGCCTCCAGCTGTTTCTGAGGGGTGAGGAGGGGTAAGGACGGGGGAGTTTCCGGGCAGGTGGTCATGAGAAGGTATGTTACACGGATCAGACTGAACACTGGCTCATGTGTCCGCGCTGTGTGCAGGTGCTGCACACAGGAAACAGCCTTTATCTTGCTGGAAGAGAGCTAACAGTGCTAATAGAGCTAATATAGCTAATAGTGCTAATGGTGCTAATAGAGCTCCAAACGGACAGAAACAACTCAAACTCTAAAACTTTGGACACGAACAAACTCACAGTGGAAACGTACAGAAATATGATATACTATATATGTTATATTTATATAATATATTATATACTATATAAATATTTGTACTATAAACTGTTAATCTTAATGTGAATTCATTTCTTTTTGTCTCTAAACTGATCAAACAGAAAAAAACTGGAACAAAAATAAAAATAAACTCTCAAAAACTGACGACGAGAAAAACAACAAGAAAACGTTCGACAGGATGAAAACTGACGTTTGATTCTGTTTTTAAAACAAAAAACATCCGACAAGATCGACTGACCCCAAACAACCCTTTATTACCATTATTACCATTATTAAACACTGTTTTAAATAACCTCATTAGTTTCCTCATTGCTCTTTAATCCAACTAATATTTAATCCAATCAGTGTCAAACCTTAACGTGAGGTTCAAATAACAGCAGCCAATTGCTGCTCTGCGTTTGAAGACACGCCACCGCTCCACAGCGAGGAGGGCGGGGCTTCAGACGCCTCGATGAGATCAAACCGAACGTCTCCTGACAAACAGCGTTTTATTCCTCTGAGGACCATCCAGGTGATCAGATTCAACCATTAATAATAATCCCAATAATCAGATCCAATAATCCGTCTGTGTTTCCACGTATTGATCAGATCAGAGCGATCGGCTCCTCGTCCAGGTGCTGCGTCCACATCCTGCTGCTCGCTGAAAGGTAATGAGAGATAAAAGCAGCTCACTCTCTGTCTCTCTGTCTCTCTCTCTCTCTCTCTCGCCTGAGAGCAGATCACCTGAACCACTGGAGGGGGGAGGGGGGAGGGGGGAGGAGGGGGAGATGGGGAGGAGGAGGTGAGACAGGCTGTAAAGAATGAGGTCGCTGCCTAGCGGCTGCCAGCTGGAACTGACTCAGTCAGAACAGGCAGGTAACACACAGGTGGACAAAAGTATGTGGACAGCTGAATGTGACACACATAAGTAATCAACCTAAAGTGTGTCCACATATTTTTGGCCATATAATAAATCTTTATCTCAGTTGATCCTCGACAGGAAACCTGGAACTGTACAGATTATTATCAACAAATATCCTGGAAATAATCTGTTTGACCTGGAAGAGACTCAGATTACATCAACGGGGTTTGAAACTAGCCGGCTGGCAGGATAAAATACCACTTTTATTTTGAAATGTTTTCTTCTTGACTGTCTCTAAAAACAGATTTATGTTTTCTTCCCTTTTTAACAACAAATTAATTACAGATTATCTGATTAATTATTGATTTTCAGTGATTGATTGATGACAAAAAAAACAATTGTTGTTAATAATTAATTGTACTTTCTACCTTTTAATCAGCTCAAAGTCTAGATAAAAACCTTCTGTAAAATAAAATAGTTATTGATCCGCTGAGGCAGCAGATTGGTTAAAGAGAGCTGTCCACATACTTCTGGCCACATATTGTCCACCTGGCTGTGTCTCTGTGTTATCGTCCAGCTCCTAATTCAATTAAAGACCCATTTATCTGCAGGGCCCCGATGCTTCGGTGCAACAGGCTGGAAACTCCAGCAGGGAGGAGAGAGAGAGCCCAGAGTCTCCGGCATCCCCCCCCCCCGTCCTCCCCCACCATCACTCCCCCACCGTCCTCCCCCCCAAACCTCCTCCGATACGAAGCCACCATCTGTGCCCAGCCTCTGCACATGTTTCTGCTCCCAACAAATGTTCAGGGCCCCACCGGCCCCCCACCGGCCCCCCACCCACACACACTAAGAGTCAACAGAGGCTCCTCACACTGACTGAGATTAATAACATTATTATTATTGATTGTTTACAACACTAATAACGATCATTAACAGCTGAAGAATTAATAACTAAAATATTAACAGTTTGATTGTTTACAGTCTTTTATTATTAACAATATTCACAAAACAAAATACTACCTTAAATCTTCAGAAACAACAACAACAACAACAGAATAATAATAACAATAATAATAATAATAATAAATAACTTGATATGAAACTGTTCTTCCATCTGAAATAAACATTTGATGTATTTTCTTTCTTTCTGATACTGAAACAAACATTAAAGTATTAAAGGTGGAAGGCTGGCTTTACAACCTCTGAACCAACAGCAGCAACAGGACGATGATTGTTATTCAAACATCCAGAGCTTCACATAAACTTCCTGTTTCCTTCAGTACAAATATATTTGTTTGAATGATGATGTCACTTCATGTCGGATCATAAATAATAAACCGAAGACCAGCAGAGACCAGATCAGACCGAGGCTCAGTCTGCAGAGGTCAGACAGGCAGAGGTCACACAGGTGGCTGAGGTCAGACAGACAGAGATCAGACAGGTGGCTGAGGTCAGACAGACAGAGATCAGACAGGTGGCGGAGGTCAGACGGGTAGAGGTCAAATAGGCAGAGGTCAGACAGGTGGCTGAGGTCAGACAGACAGAGATCAGACAGGCAGAGGTCAGACAGGTGGTTGAGGTGAGACAGGTGGAGGTCAGACAGGTGGTGGAGGTCAGACAGGTAGAGGTCAAATAGGCAGAGGTCAGACAGGTAGAGGTCAGACAGGTGGCTGATGTCAGACAGGCAGAGGTCAGACAGGTAGAGGTCACACAGGCTGAGGTCAGACAGGTAGAGGTCAGACAGGCAGAGGTCAGATAGAGGTCAGATAGGTGGAGGTCAGACAGGTGGAGGTCAGATAGGCAGAGGTCAGACAGAGGGAGGTCAGATAGAGGTCAGACAGGCGGAGGTCAGACAGGTGGCTGAGGTCAGACAGGCAGTGGTCAGACAGGTAGAGGTCAGACAGGTGGCTAAGGTCAGACAGGCAGAGGTCAGACAGGTAGAGGTCAGACAGGCTGAGGTCACACAGGCTGAGATCAGACCGAGGCTCAGTCTGCAGAGGTCAGACAGGCAGAGGTCAGATAGGTGGAGGCCAGACAGGTGGAGGCCAGACAGGTGGAGGTCAGACAGGCAGAGGTCAGATAGGTGGAGGCCAGACAGGTGAAGGTCAGACAGGTGGAGGTCAGATAGGCAGAGGTCAGACAGACAGAGGTCAGACAGGTAGAGGTCAGACAGGCAGAGGTCAGATAGGTGGAGGCCAGACAGGTAGAGGTCAGACAGGCAGAGGTCAGATAGGTGGAGGCCAGACAGGTGGAGGTCAGACAGGCAGAGGTCAGATAGGTGGAGGCCAGACAGGCTGAGGTCACACAGGCTGAGATCAGACCGAGGCTCAGTCTGCAGAGGTCAGACAGGCAGAGGTCAGATAGGTGGAGGCCAGACAGGTGGAGGCCAGACAGGTGGAGGTCAGACAGGCAGAGGTCAGATAGGTGGAGGCCAGACAGGTGAAGGTCAGACAGGTGGATGTCAGATAGGCAGAGGTCAGACAGACAGAGGTCAGACAGGTAGAGGTCAGACAGGCAGAGGTCAGATAGGTGGAGGCCAGACAGGTAGAGGTCAGACAGGCAGAGGTCAGATAGGTGGAGGCCAGACAGGTGGAGGCCAGACAGGTGGAGGTCAGACAGGTGGAGGTCAGACAGGCAGAGGTCAGACAGGTGGCTGAGGTCAGACAGACAGAGGTCAGACAGGTAGAGGTCAGACAGGCAGAGGTCAGACAGACAGAGGTCAGACAGGTGGCTGAGGTCAGACAGGTGTAAATAAACAACAGGTCTTCTCTAATTACTATTTTTGGACAAATTTGAAGATGTCAGCTTGGATCAATTAATCATTTAATTAAAAATCTGTACAATAATCAATAATGAAAATGATAATTAGCTTTATCCCGTCAATCCAGAACTTTAAAAATGAAGAATTTTTGTTAGTTTTTTATTCTAGTTTCCCTTCAAACTTTTATTTTGTAAAAGAGGAAAACACTTTTTAAACTGAAGAAAGCTTCTGAATTCAAACTGTTTATGGAAACGATGTGCGGAAAAAGAAATAAAAAAATATAAATAATATACAAAATAATATATAAATAATATATAAATAATATAGAAATATAATAATGTAAAAGGTTCCTGGAAGCAGCCGATCTGATTAACCAACTCATTAATGTTACAATAAATATTGATCATTGCTGTGGTAGACGAAGGATTGAAGAATGGAGAGAAATCCCTCAAAGACAGCGCTAACAGGGGAGGAGGGTGAGGGAGGAGGGTGAGGAAGGGTGAGTGAGAGTTTCCATGGCCGACCTGTTGGCGGGCTGCTGTGTAATTACAGTCACCACATCCCAGCCTCTTCCCCCATGTGGTCGACCAGTTAGAAAACAAAAAGAGGAGAGTCGCTCTGTAATTCACCCCCTCGCAGGGCGGGAGGAGGGGGTAGAAGAGGGAGCAGGAGGAGGGAGGAGGACTAAAGAAAAACTCCAACCACAGAGAGAGGTTGAAGATATTTTTCTGAAAACTTGCCTAGAAAAATGTTTCTGAGCTCGTACAAAAAGATTTATCTCCTGAGGGAACAAACTGAACGTAAAAAAACAAACCAGCATCTGATTGGCTGATGGAAACAGGAAGAGGAGGAGCTACGGTGGCTGAAAGGTCCTATCTACATCCAGAGTTTGGTTTGTCCGTGTGTTACCGTAGAAACATGGTGGTTCAACATGGCGGACTCCGCCAAAGATAAAAACAGCTCATTCTAAGGTAACGAAAACACAACCATCCTAATGCAGATGGGTTTTTCCCGCTTTGGCTCCTGGCACCCCGCGGCTGCATTAGCTGCACAAGCTAACTAAGGGCATAGAATATTTTCTCTATAAAATATGATCCAGTTTCACCAAATCACTGATAAAGCTGAGCTTCTGTCCGACAGGCGGAGGTCAGATGGGCAGAGGTCAGGCATAAAGTTTTTATACAGTCGATAGAGCTCTGTGTGGCTACAAGTTGCAGATTGATACACGAGTGAATGTGATATTATTGATATTATTATCAGTTTGTTTAACAGGAAAATAAAATTACTGGATTTTAATATAAAAATACAAATACATTGATTTTGGAGAGAGAAACAATGTGAGTGTGAACCTTTAATCTGTAAACACAAACAAACAAACAAACAACAAAACAACAGAACTCTTTTATATGATCGTAAGAAAATGTGTGTGTGTGTTATGGTGTGTGTGTGTGTGTGTGTGTGTGTGTGTGTGTGTGTGTGTTATCAGTGTTGAAGGTGTGACAGGAAGAAGAGCAGCAGTTCCTCTTTGAACAAGTTGAGTCACCAAAATCTTAATCAGGTTTTAACACCTTGACTTCTGTCAGTTACACAGTGTTAACTCTGGGGGGGGACACACACACACACACACACACACACACAGATGAACCAGTGATCTCACTGTGGACTCAGTGTCTCTACAGTATTTTTATAACTGTAATAATACAGTATTATTATAACACTGAACTCCAGCTGCTGATTGAACTGTTAGATGTGATTAAAATGAGCAGCGAGGTCCTTGAACCCACCACGGTGTGTGTGTGTTATAGTGTGTGTGTGTGTGTTAATCCTATCAGCAGCAGAGTGCGTCGGTTGAAGCCCCGCCCCTCTCACCTCGGCCGCGGTGTGTCGTCTGATTACAGAAGAACTACATGAAACCCTGCTGCTGCCCTCTGATAAGACCTGATACCCTGATACCCTCTGACAGTGTGTGTGTGTGTGTGTGTATTATACAGTGTGTGTGTGTGTGTATTATACAGTGTGTGTGTGTGTGTGTGTGTATTATACAGTGTGTGTGTGTGTGTGAATTATACAGTGTGTGTGTGTGTGTGTATTATACAGTGTGTGTGTGTGTGTGTGTGTGTATTATACAGTGTGTGTGTGTGTGTGTATTATACAGTGTGTGTGTGTGTGTGTGTGTGTGTGTCGTGTATTATACAGTGTGTGTGTGTGTGTGTGTATTATACAGTGTGTGTGTGTGGGGGGGGGGGGGCGGGCGGTGAGCGCGATTCAACCAAAGAAGAAGAAGGTCAGACGTGTGAACAACTTGTCTTCTTTTCTTCTTGTTGCAAAACACTATCAATTGACTGTGAAGCTGCAGAGTGTGTGTGTGTGTGTGTGTGTGTGTGTGTGTGTGTGTGTATACTGTGTGTGTGTGTATTATAGTGTGTGGATTATGGTGTGTGTGTTATACTGTGTGTGTGTGTGTGTCTGTGTTACTGTGTGTGTGTGTGTTATACTGTGTGTTATACTGTGTGTGTGTGTGTGTCTGTGTTACTGTGTGTGTGTGTGTATTATAGTGTGTGTGTGTGTAACAGTGTGTGTGTTACTGTGTGTGTGTGTGTGCAGCCACAGACGTTCGAAGGTAAAAAGAATTAAAAAATAAAACTTCTCTTTTGAACTGTGAATCTTGTTCTACATGCATTTTGAAGCCCATCAAACTTCATCTTTCTGTGTAAGTGTTCAATTAATCATCAGCCTCTGTGGGGGTGGGGGGGGGGGCTGCCCCCCCTGTATGAAAATGTAGGTTGCCTTAAGAGAAAGTCAGACTTTAAGAGTGAATAATGGATGCAGGCATTCACTCGTCTGCTGTTGGTGATGAAGCAGTTTGAGGGTTTTCAACCCAGCAGCCTCTCTGGGGGGGGGGGTTTCATGTTCCCAGGTGGAAGATGAATCTTTACAAAAGGAGAAGAGGAGAGTTGTTGAATACCTTCCTCCTGACAGAAACTTTTCACTGCCAATAATTGATGACTGCAGTTGATTTAACTTCTTTACCTTTGTATTTATGCAGGGAGCGACTCAACGTTAGCGACTCAACGTTAGCGACTCAACGTTAGCGACTCAACGTTAGCGACTCAACGTTAGCGGCTCAACGTTAGCGACTCAACGTTAGCGGCTCAACGTTAGCGACTCAACGTTAGCAACTCAACGTTAGCAACTACCCATAAACCATAAACATAACGCTGCGCAAAAACAGTCTTAAATGAACAAAAAGACAAAAAGGAGATGAATGAATGTGAGCAATTCAATTTTATTTGTATAGCGCCAATTCATAACAGAAGTTATCTCAGGACACTTTTCAAATAGAGCAGGTCTAGACCGAACTCTTTATAACATTATTTACAGAGACCCAACAGTACCACCATGAGCAAGACCTTGGAGACAAGGGCAAGGAAAAACTGCCTGTTAAAAGGCAGAAACCTAGGACAGATCCTCCGGCTCTAGGTGGGTGGGAGAGAGAGAGAGAGAGACAGACAGTGAGAGAGAGACAGAGAGAGAGAGGCAGAGAGAGAGAGAGCGAGAGAGAGAGAGAGAGCGAGAGAGAGGGAGGGAGAGAGACAGACAGTGAGAGAGAGAGAGACACAGGAAGTGAATGAACCAGCTGACAGGATGTAGAATTTATGGATCAGTCACTTCAGGTGGAGCTCGCTGTAGATATTGATTGAGTTACTGACATTTTATCATCTGATGTAACACATCCTCATTAATATTCATGATAGGCCCCTCCCCCGTTTAACAAGCTAATTACCCCACACACACACAGTCAGGTATTGCCTCACATAGGCTGACTGGTCTTCAGAGGTATTGTGGATCTGTTCCAGGAACAGTTTGAGGTAGTGAAACTGCTGACAGACTCACTTTATCGTTGACTCACAAGACCTCCGTCCACCACAACCTGTAGCCGGACAGAAGTAGTCTACCGGCTAAACAGGAGGAGAAGAAGAAAACTACCACTGTCATCAGTTTCCACTCGCACATTTACCGTCAGTTCAGGGAACGTTTGCCGCCTTTTTGTTCTGACTGCATGTGGAGATGAAGTGGTGACAAATAAATCAGTTTCAGGATGTAAAAACGATCTGAAGGACGACAAACAGATTTAGTCCCCGAACAACTGAACCACCAACAGTTACTGCATTCATATATAAACCACCTAGCAACAGCATAGCAACACCTGAAACACAACAACCACCAAGCTTTTCTGTACTGCCTAAGCAACCATACAGAAACCACAAACAACAACATAACAACCACCAACAACAACCACCAACAACACCATAACAACCACCACCACCACCAACAACAACAACCATAAAACCACCAACAACAATCATCAATAACAACATAACAACCACCAACAACACCAACCATACAGAAACCACCAACAACACCATAACAACCACCACCACCACCACCACCAACAACAGCAACCATAAAACCACCAACAACAATCATCAACAACAACATAACAACCACCAACAACACCAACCATACAGAAACCACAAACAACAACATAACAACCACCAACAACAACCATCAACACCGACCATAAAACCACCAACAACACCATAACAACCACCACCACCACCAACAACAACAACCATAAAACCACCAACAACAATCATCAATAACAACATAACAACCACCAACAACACCAACCATACAGAAACCACCAACAACACCATAACAACCACCACCACCACCACCAACAACAACCATAAAACCACCAACAACAATCATCAACAACAACATAACAACCACCAACAACACCAACCATACAGAAACCACCAACAACAACATAACAACCACCAACAACAACCATCAACACCGACCATAAAACCACCAACAACACCATAACAACCACCACCACCAACAACAACAACAACCATCAAACCACCAACAACAATCATCAACAACAACATAACAACCACCAACAACACCAACCATACAGAAACCACCAACAACACCGTAACAACCAACAACAACATAACAACACCATAACAACCACCAACTATACAGAAACGATCAACAACACCATAACAACCACCAACAACACCAACTACATTACATTACATTACTGTCAGCAATGGGGCAGTATTTTCTGTCAGTAATGGGGCAGTATTTACTGTCAGTAATGGGGCAGTATTTACCGTCAGTAATGGGGCAGTATTTTCTGTCTGTAATGGGGCAGTATTTTCTGTCTGCAATGGGGCAGTATTTTCTGTCAGTAATGGGGCAGTATTTTCTGTCTGTAATGGGGCAGCATTTACTGTCAGCAATGGGGCAGTATTTTCTGTCTGTAATGGGGCAGTATTTACCGTCAGTAATGGGGCAGTATTTTCTGTCTGTAATGGGGCAGTATTTTCTGTCTGCAATGGGGCAGTATTTTCTGTCAGTAATGGGGCAGTATTTACTGTCTGTAATGGGGCAGTATTTACTGTCAGCAATGGGGCAGTATTTTCTGTCTGTAATGGGGCAGTATTTTCTGTCTGTAATGGGGCAGTATTTTCTGTCTGTAATGGGGCAGTATTTTCTGTCAGCAATGGGGCAGTATTTTCTGTCTGTAATGGGGCAGTATTTACTGTCAGCAATGGGGCAGTATTTTCTGTCAGCAATGGGGCAGTATTTACTGTCAGCAATGGGGCAGTATTTACTGTCAGTAATGGGGCAGTATTTACCGTCAGTAATGGGGCAGTATTTTCTGTCTGTAATGGGGCAGTATTTTCTGTCTGCAATGGGGCAGTATTTTCTGTCAGTAATGGGGCAGTATTTTCTGTCTGTAATGGGGCAGTATTTACTGTCAGCAATGGGGCAGTATTTTCTGTCTGTAATGGGGCAGTATTTACCGTCAGTAATGGGGCAGTATTTTCTGTCTGTAATGGGGCAGTATTTTCTGTCTGCAATGGGGCAGTATTTTCTGTCTGTAATGGGGCAGTATTTACTGTCTGTAATGGGGCAGTATTTACTGTCAGCAATGGGGCAGTATTTTCTGTCTGTAATGGGGCAGTATTTTCTGTCTGTAATGGGGCAGTATTTTCTGTCTGTAATGGGGCAGTATTTTCTGTCAGCAATGGGGCAGTATTTTCTGTCTGTAATGGGGCAGTATTTACTGTCAGCAATGGGGCAGTATTTTCTGTCAGCAATGGGGCAGTATTTACTGTCAGCAATGGGGCAGTATTTACTGTCTGTAATGGGGCAGTATTTACTGTCTGTAATGGGGCAGTATTTACTGTCAGCAATGGGGCAGTATTTTCTGTCTGTAATGGGGCAGTATTTTCTGTCAGTAATGTTCATCCATCATGTGACCTGGCCCCCCCACTCCCTCTCCAAACTGAGGTGACAGGGGCTGACAGCCACTCGCCCCCTGAGGGTGAAGTCTCAGGTTGAGAGGATGAATGTCTGCGGGGCTCGAAAATCACACAAATGACTGATGACTCGTCACTTGCCTCTCTGACTCACTATGGACCAATCAGGTCGCAGCTCAGGGACCTTCTGCAGATATCTAAAAGCTGGAGTCATAACTGGAACCGCACAGTAAAACTGAAGCTCAAATAAAGTTCTGTGTTTATAGATTATATATTTATTTTATAGGAAACAGTTAAAAACATTAATTGACAGCTTTTTAAAGCTAAAACTAAACATCAATAATCAGTCCAGAGAGATAACTGACCTCCGTTAGCATCCTACAGCTGTTGGTTTATATATTATATATTTATTTTATCTAAAGTAATGTTGTAATGAGTAATGAGTCCAAGGTAAGTTTCTTGTGATATCTCAACCCTGAGAGCTAAATGAGGATCAATAATCAGTCCAGAAAAAATAACTGACCTCCGTTAGCATCCTACAACTGTTGGCTGTCTGTTTGTAACCTGCAAGGAAACTGGACTCACGTGAGAATCTTTAAAGGCTTCAATCGATGTGTTTGTGTCCAACCAATCAGCATCCTTTAAAGAACTACTGGCAGCTACAAGATGAGCTATAGGCGTGGTTTAGAAAACAACAATGGTGGCAACTAAAGAGGTTAGCATAGCTGCTGCAAGCATCTATTACTTAAGAACTGGAGAGGACGAATCTGAAGATGAGTGCTGCTCTCTAACAGTCGACAGTCTCTTGTAACGTCTCTCACCGCTGCATGTGCTAACTGTGCGAGCTGATATTAGCTAGTTAGACGTGATGATTTCTGTCAATAAATAATACGTTTTTCTTTTTAAACTTTGAGTGATTTTTTATTATTAATTGATTAGTTTCTGTGATCGGCTTCCTTCCTCTGCTCGTACAGAGACCATGAACCTGCACACTGGATCTTGTTCTGAGAGTCTCTGATTGTGATGCTGCTGCTGTCCTGAACAGAGCAGCATCTCCCCGCTGACAATATGGGCTGAGGGAGAGTCAGAGGGGCAGTCGGGGGGAGGGTGTCGGTACAATGAGCCCACTGTTACCGCGATGTGGTCTCCATTGTACCTCCAAGCAAAGAGGTGTCTCCACTTCCTGTCTTCAGAGAAAAACCAGTCACTCTCAGCTCCCAGTAAACCCTGCTGGTTCCCACTCAGACCAGTAGCTTAGGTTTCCAGAGACACCTGAACGTCTCACAGACGCTCCATCAGATTTATCTAAACTCATTAACTTGTTTATTTATTATTACTGATTACTTTTACTTACTGTTCGGTTTATGTCACAGTAAATCAAAGATCTTTGTTGGTGGGACCAGTTTTCACTATTATTTGACATTTTACAGGTTGAATTATTGACCAGAACAGACTGATCGATAATGAAAAAATGATGTTTAGTTCCAGTCTAATTCAACTTCTTGGTGAATTCAGATTAAGAACAAGACAAAAATATTTTTTATTGATTGTTCAACATGGTTTGATGATTATGATTTTGTAATATTTCTCTCTAGAAATTAGTTGAGTGTTACCCAGAGATTATAAAGCAGCTCTTCCAGGAAAACACAGCAACCACTCCCAGCGACCACAGGTTGGTCCGTTAACATCTGAGAGATCTCAGCAAGTTAAAGTGCAGATTAATGAGCCATTAGTGGGTTTCACAGTCAGACCAGCAACATGGAAAATGGACAGGAGCATAAGAAACAGCCAGCAGACATCCAGGTGACACATCCTCATCATCATCTTCATCATCATCATTAATATCATCGTCATCCTCATCATCTTCTTCATCATCTTCATCTTCATCATCAATATCATCATCATCATCATCCTCATCATCTTCTTCATCATCTTTATTATCATCATAATCATCTTCATCATCTTCATCATCAATATCATCATCATCTTCATCATCATCATCATCATCATCATCATTCTCCTCAACAGAGAGGAAGTCGTGTCCGACTGAAACAACAAACGTTTTTCTCCACCGCCTCCAACTGAGAACTCTTTGCACTCTGCACTCTTTCACAATAAGACGCTGCAGCACTCACACACACACACACACACAAGACTTTAACGTACGTTAATTTATATAACGATTAGTTTTCACCTTCCTGAACTATATATTTCGTCCGATACAGAGAACCAATCAGATGCATTGAAACACAGATACACAGTCAGCGCCACGTACCCGTATGGCCGTACCCACTGAGGTCATAAAACCATAAAACAAAAAAAAACTTTACTCTGATACTTTGATTCCCCCAAAACCCCCAAAGCAGGTTCAGCCTTTGGACTTCTGTCTTTCTTGGAGAGGAACGGCTAAACAACTGCATCTCCATGGAAACACACAGCCAGCATTATTATTATTATCATTATTATTATTATTATTATTATTGTTAAAGTGAATACTACTAATCCTGTGATTGCTGTCGTTGTCCTGTTTCAGGGTCGACACTGGTGGGGCTAATAAATGACGTGTTATCAGACCGGTGAACAGACCACTGATACCTGATGATCTACTAACCAAACTGCTTTAACAACAAGAAAATGTTGTTTAAATTTTACTTTGACTGGTATGTGTGCACATAAAAAATGTAAATTATTCAATGACCTGAACTTTATTATGGGGGCGGCTGTGGCTCAGAGGCAGAGCGGGTCGTTCCTTAATCGGAAGGTTGTGGGTTCAATCCCCGGCTCCTGGTGCCACATGTCAAAGTATCCTTGAGCAAGATACTGAACCCCGAATTGCTCCCGATGCCCTGCATCGGTGTGTGAATGTGTATGAATGTGGCACGTAGTGTAAAAGCGCTTTGAGTGGTCGGAAGACTAGAAAGGCGCTATACAAGTACAGGTCCATTTACCATTATTTCCAGAATACCATAATTTTACATTATTGGTACGAAAACTTTGAATAATATTAAAACTATTTAGAGATTTTGATTAAAACTGAACTGTAACATCAATCTGTATGTTATAGGATCATCCTGTTTATTTTAATCACTACAGTTTAAAAACAAATGTTCAACAGTTCAATTAATCTTTTTGAGTTAAGGCAACTTCTAATGAAATTATGTTCAACAAATGTACCGATTTGAGTTTAATGTGTCTCTCTTTTTCCTCTACAATCAAATGTATTTTTAATTAGCTCTTACGTCTCTGTTTTCCTCTATAATTTTTCATTTTCTTCTCTTTTCCTGACAGAGCTGGTTTTCCACAGTTGGTCTCTCTGTTGTTTTCAGGGCGGGACATTTGTTGTGGTGAGAGTTGTCATGGCAACCAGCAGCAGAGAGGAGGAGGAGGAGGAGAAGGAGGAGGAGGGGGAGGAGTGAGGCTTTAACTTCCTGAAAAATGAGATTATTACACAACAGCACGACTTCAATACCTGATCACAGCTAAAAAAACACTTCTGCTTTCTGAGACTAAACCTGCTGAAGAGGGTGAGGATGGTGAGGACGGAGGGAGGGTGAGGAGGGTGAGGAGGGTGAGGAGAGAGAGGGAGAGAAGGTGGGGGTCCCGGGCTTCCTTCAGCCCAGCAGGCTGTGGTAATAAACGCTGGTCCTTTTGTTGGAGCGCAGTCGGCAGCAGGAGCTCAGACAAAAGGAAACCCCATAATGCCCTCTGCTTCGAGGCTGCAGTCACACACAGTCGGCTTTAAAACGTTCATAAAAACTCCCCGAACTCTGTTTAATATTTATGACTGAACAAAGTTAAACAATAAGTTCGAAACAGTCTTCACTACACTGCAAAACCCCTTTTTATTGATCTGTCTACTAATATTTAAACCTGTTTGTTACTTAACGTCTTTAGTTTTTTATTGTTTTGTTACAATGTAAACAAAAATGATGCTAGCTAAGCTAGCTAATTGCTGAAAATCCACATGAGGTGATGAACCAGAGGATTGTGGGTATGTGATGTCTCCATCAAGAAATTTAGTTTTTTTGTTCAGGAAATGTTGGTTGTAAGATCAACGCTGATGAGTTTATAACTCACCGTTTGTAAGTCCCGAACTCAAAAAGATAATTAGCTTCAGTTATGCTACAACTGGCAATCAGATGTAACTAGCTAGCTAACAATTGATATAGATTAGCTAACATTTTGTTAACATTAACTAACCTTAGATGCGACAGTATGACACCATCAGAATGTCTTAGTTTACACTCAGTTCATCAGGTTACAGTTGGATCAATCCACTCATACAACGTGAGTAATAATAATCCTGCTGACAGACGCACTTTATTTTGGGTTTGATTATTTAAGAAAAGTGAAGTGAAAAAGTGCTTCTCTATGCAGACGATGTGACTGTATTAATCACTGAGAGAGAACTTGTTAAATCACTAATGGAGGTTAAATGAATCGCTGTGAATTAACTGACGGAGGCAGAACTTTAACTGTACAACAGTTTTATAATGATTACAACACAATTCTCATAAAGGCTGATCGTTATCAATAACACGTCTCACATATATATAACATATAGATATTGTGATTAATTCATTAGTGAGATTTATATGTTTGGAAATTTAATAAACTGTTTAAATCATGAAGACCAAACAAATATGTTATTTTTTAAATTTGGAGAACCTGAACATTATTATTACTATTATTGATCCTGATTGTTGTATTTATTTTTTTATTTTTTATTATTAATACTTTATTATATAATACTATATAAATACTAATATTAATCAGCCACTGTACAGTGAAGGTGAGCTCTTACCTACAGGCAGCCGTTACAGATTACTGATAGCTGAAATATCTACAATAAGCTAATAAATGAAAGTAGATTCAGCAGTTGAGGACTTCACTGCAGTTTGTTGCTCAGTATGTGAATGTGATGTTTGTTTATTATTAAAGTTCTCATTGTGAAACCGAATTTCCACATTTGTAAGCAGTAAACAGACTATACTTATTCAGAGCTCTTTACAGTCACATTCACTCATTCACTCAGTTTGGGGTTCAGTATCTTGCTCAAGGACACTTCAACCTGCAGCACGAGGAGCCGGGGATCGAACCACCAACCCTCTGATCAGTGTACGACCCGCTCTACCTCCTGAGACACAGCTGCCCAGTTACCACCTGACACTGAGGTTCATCAGCTCTATAACAACATCCTTCCTCCTCGGAAACACACTGAGACCTCGCAGGAGTTTCCAGGAGTCTCCAGGTGTTTCAAGGTGAACAGGGATGAGGACGGTCTCCAGGGCTTCCAGGGGTCTCCAGGTGTTTCCAGGTGAACAGGGATGAGGGCTGTCTCCAGGGTTTCCAGGAGTCTCCAGGTGTTTCCAGGTGAACAGGGATGAGGACTGTCTCCAGGTGTTTCCAGGAGTCTCCAGGTGTTTCCAGGTGAACAGGGATGAGGACTGTCTCCAGGGTTTCCAGGAGTCTTCAGGTGTTTCCAGGTGAACAGGGATGAGGACTCTTTCCAGGGTTTCCAGGAGTCTCCAGGTGTTTCCAGGTGAACAGGGATGAGGACTGCCTCCAGGAACAAATGGGTTCAGTGTGACTTTCTGCCTGTTAACCGCTCTTTGATTTCATTGATCAGCAGTGAAATCGGTTCCTTATGACGACCTGCAGATGCACACACGCTCTCAGATGATGTCACGCTGCTTTACGACTGTTGTCAAGGAGATAAAGACGATACAGCGTCTGCTGACTGCCGCCGCCTTCTTCTTCACGCTCTGATGTGACTGCTGCCTCCAGCTGTGCCAGGTGTGTGTTACAGTGTTCAGACTGAAATAGAAACTGACCTCCACCACCGTTCATTCCTGAGTCACACACGCACGCACGCACACACACACACACACACACACACACACACACACACACACACAAGTAACACACACACAGTAACTAACACACACACACACGCACACACAGTAACACACACACACAAACACATACACACACACACATACACAGCCCCTCCCTGTAGAAACCTGACAGGAATTTAACCACGAGGTCACTGAACTATGTGTGTGTAACTGTGTGTGTGTGTGTGTGTGTGTGTGTGTGTGTGTGTGTGTGTGTGTGAGAGTGTGTGTGTGTTATTGTGTCTGTGTTAGTGTGTGTGTGTTACTGTGTGTGTGTGTGTAAATGATTAATTGATTTAAATGAATAAATGAGTAATTTTGTGAATAAAATGTCTGCACTGTAACGATGTCGTTGACGATAACGTTCTGAGCTGATCAAGAAATATGAATAATCAATCGAATTGATTATTGAAGTAATTAGTCAATCAAGTATTTTGTCTTTGATTCAATTCAAAGTGAATTTAACTTCCATAAACTGTTATTTTCATTATTGATCAACCTGCTAACGACTCATATTGAGAATGTTTGCTTCCAGTTTACTGCTTCATAACAATTATTGATCCGTCCACTGGTTCAGCTCAGTGTTCTTTACAGTGTGAGATTATAAATCTTCTATTACGAGCAGATTACATCTACAGACAGAGAAGAGGGTGAGGATGAGGAGGAGGGTGAGGAGAATGAGGAGGGTGAGGAGGGTGAGGATGAGGAGGAGGGTCAGGATGAGGAGGAGGGTGAGGATGAGGAGGAGGGTCAGGATGAGGAGGAGGGGTGAGGATGAGGAGGAGGGTCAGGGGGATGAGGAGAGGGTGAGGAGGGTGAGGAGGAGGACGATGGGGAGGGTGAGGGTGAGGAGGGTGAGGAGGAGGACGATGGGGAGGGTGAGGGTGAGGAGGGTTAGGAGGAAGGTTGGGAGTAAACACTTTGAAACCGTCTGTCAGAACGAGGAGACATTTTTAATCCTCTCCAGCCGCACTCTCACTGCACTTCAAAATAAAAGCCTTTTATCCACCACCCTCTCCACCAATTAAACCAATTAAAGCTCATTTGTCTGACATCTTCTTCTTACTTCCTTTAAGTGTTAGCGAGCCGTGCTGAATTAGAAAAGAAGAAGAAGGGTTTTATGTCGCCGTTGACAGCGTGAAGAGGCTCTGAGAGCTCGTTCACACAAACACTCGATGGAAATCCTCCATGAGAAGATTTCAGACCAGAACTCAGAGTTCATTGATCACCTGAAGGTTGTTGGTGGTGTCCCACAGGGGTCTATTCTGGGACCCTTGTCACTCCTCATTCACATCAAAGCATTTCCACCTTAAATTAAAATTTTACTTAGTGTAAATAAAGAAATCACAACAACCAATAACGAGCTCAGACTGATCAATATCATAGAAACAATCGATTGCCAACCAGCTTCTGACAAAAAAAACTCAAACTTTGGTCACAAAGTTCATCTTAAATGAAATATTGATTATTTTTCCTGCTGTAGAAAAACAATATTTGATGAGGTTTGAATGGATAAAGCAAGAGAATATTTCTGACACACTTCCTGTTCTCACTCTTAGCTCCGGGAGCGTCTAATCAATAATTCTATCAATCATCAGACTGGATCCAATCATCAAACACCTTCCTTTAACTGAGAAAGGTGAAGAGTGACAGAGTGGGAGAGGAGGAAGAGAAGAGGAAGAGGAAGAAGAGGAAAAAGAGGAGGAAGAGGAGGAATCTCTTTGTGTTCTTTTGATTTTGATGTTTATTATTATATTTAAGATGAACAACAGGAAGTAAAAAGTAAATAAAGAATTTGTTCTGATTGTTTGAGGTTCATTACCTCATGTTTAAATGAAGTTCAGACTTTATGAGTCAGTTTTAATATGAGCTAAGTTAGCATAGCTCTGATCAACCAATCTCCATTCAGAAAACAAGCGTTCAGCGTCATATTGATCTGTTTATTGACATTAAATCACAGAAATACCTGATTATTATAGACACAAACTGCTGCAGTGACACAGATTATTTCACTGGGAACTTCAGGTTCCTTTTTGAGACTATATATATATATATATAAAAAAGAACATAATATATATGTATATATAACTATATAAGAACCGCGCACATGCAGGAGTTTCACAGTTTCAGACCCAAAAGGGTTCATTTTTCTGTCATTATTGTAGAGATTTTGTTACAGATGTTGAACCAGATCCTGGCTGATGAGGTCTGGATGGGTTCTTTATGGACATTGTGATGTTGAAACAGGAAAAGAGCAAACACAAACTGTTGACACGAAGCTGCAGAACTATTGTCTGGATGTCATTGTGTGCAGAGGAAACGGCGTCTGATCACATCTCGACGCCACAAGGAGTAAAGTTGGCCCAATAAAAGCTCTGATAGTTCAACTGAGAGCAGCGAGGAGCTCTAATGCATCAGAAATAACCAGCGCTCATTAATCAATAATTCAACCGACGGCAAACACAAGAGTCTGTGAGTAAAGGAGGCGAAGTTAGAGAAGTGGAAGTGTGAGAGAAGAGGAGGAAATAAAAGAGTGTGAGAGCCTGACGGGAAGGTGTGTGTGTTCTCAGAAACAGAAGGAGAACCAACAGTGTGGTGACAAGGTCAACAAAACCCCGTGAAACAGCGTGTCAGCAGATTACAGCAGCCAGCGACGGGAACTCGCCCTCAAGGACACTTCAGTGTCGACACAGAAAAGAGGAAACTCTCAAAGTGTGACTGTTTTTGCTTCCTTACCTGCTTTTCACACCACGGGTTTGTTTCAGGTCGCCGCCGCCGCCGCGAACACAGGAGCACAAGAAGAAGAAGAAAAAGAAGAATTAGTGCAAAAGATTTTAAACAGTAAATAATAATGACAATCAATCAATCAATCAATCAATCAATCAACCAACCAATCAGTGACGGTTGCAGCTGCTTACATTTCGTCTATCACATTAAAGTAAGATCGATCAATTAAAGTCCCAATTATCAATCAATACGTCTCCTGTCCTAAAGTATCTGTCCAACAACGACTCAATGTTTATTCCTGATGGACAGATAGCTTTAGCTAACGTAGCTAATGGCTAATTAGCTGCGGCTAACTGTATCTGCCGTTAGCGAGCGACAGAACCGGGCTCAGCAGCCGAACCGGGATTGAACACTCCGGGCTCCGAGACCGACAGGGAATAACGTTACAGTACCGAGGTCATTCACAGAGTTAGGGTTACCGCTAACTGCTAACTGCTAACTGCTAACCGCTAACTGCTAACCGCTAACTGCTAACTCAGACGTTGAGACGTACTAGCAAACACTGAACAACTTTCACTAACTGCAGTAAAAAGTCTGAAAACAACTTTAAGACCCACAATCCTCTCTGACTCTTTAACAGCATTATTGATTATGTCTCCTAATGAGGAGAAAACACTGCATCATAATAATAATAATAATAATAATACAGAGAATTGTATAAAAACGAATCTCTGATCAATATATCTATATTGATATATTGATATATTGAGTTCACTGTTTGGGTTTAATTTAATAATAATAATTGTAATAAGTTAGTTTGACTGATTACATTCAACACAAACTGTATTTTGTAAGTTAAAAACATTCTCCATTAATTACTTTTTATTAGATATTTTGTTTTAGTAATAGTAATAAAATCAACTTGATGAATGAAGAATGTTAATTTTAATTTATTTGAACTGTTTTGTTAACTAATATTTTATAGTTTCTATAAGAGCTATACAACTACAGTTATTATTATAATTATATAAAAGTTATGGTTCACAGTGTATGAAATATGTCCGTTTAATAAAGGACTGATGTTCAATAAAGATCAGTGTTTGCGAACTCGGGCAGGTCGAGGTCCCGTGGACGCGGCGTCCTTTGTCTCGCCGCTGTGGTTGACCTGAATGTGGGCCACAGTGCAGACACATCCAGGTCTTATTGAATTCTCTTCTGGTCTACTGCACGTATACATAAGTAGGATGGTAATTATTGTCTGCCATCGCTTGGATCAATTTGCATTTAACCCAGATTTCAGCGACCAGAGAGGATTGTGGGGCGTCAAGCCGCTACGAGACGGCAAGAAAACGGGGACAGGAAGCCATCTTGTCTTCATCGTCACCCTGAGATCAAACATCATCTTCACCCCGCTGCAGCTTCATTAATCACTGTCTGCACAGTCCCGGACAAAGGAGGCTCCTGAGACCGCCACCACCCGCCCCCCCCCCCCCCGCCCCTCCGACCCCCCGACCCCTCGCCACCAGCACCCCGGGGCAGACTGCATCCACTGGGTCACCTACTTCTGCCCCACAGGGGGGGCTTTCTTTTCCCAGACTCATTGAGAGTCTGAAACTGAAGATCAACCTTCCAACAACTGACTGTAGCCAGCACTGTGCTAAACTGTTAGCATAGCACTCAACATAATGTAGCACAAAGCTGTTAGCATTCTGTAATGTTTCCCTACAGTGTCTGTTAGCATAGAGGCTGCTATCACTGTTAGCATAGAGGCTGCTATCACTGTTAGCATAGAGGCTGCTATCACTAACTGTTAGCATGGAGGCTGCTATCACTGTTAGCATAGAGGCTGCTATCACTAACTGTTAGCATAGAGGCTGCTATCACTGTTAGCATAGAGGCTGCTATCTCTGTTAGCATAGAGGCTGCTATCACTGTTAGCATAGAGGCTGCTATCACTGTTAGCATAGAGGCTGCTATCACTGTTAGCATAGAGGCTGCTATCTCTGTTAGCATAGAGGCTGCTATCTCTGTTAGCATAGAGGCTTCTATCTCTGTTAGCATAGAGGCTGCTATCTCTGTTAGCATAGAGGCTGCTATGCTAACAGTAAACCGTAAACACTCTGCTATCTCTCACCATAAAGGTTGAAGATTATAATGTTACTCTAAGTAGCATTTGTGTAGGTGTTAGCATGTAGCTTGCTGTTGTAGGGCTAACATTTTGAGCATGCTATATAAGCGCAAAAAGTTTAGCATCTAACTAAAGTGTTAGCATTACCGCTCTAAATAATGTAGACCTGTGCTAATGAGTGTGTATGGAGTCCGCCATAAAGTTTAGCACTAAAAATATTCTAAATACAGTAAAAGTGCTAGCTGTAGCCTAATACCTCCACACAGTGATTGCTAAACTGTTAGCTTATATAAACTGTGTGAACATGAGTTTCTCTGTAACCTCCATGTTTGACCCCGACTGAGCGGATTTGGGCTTTTTCACAGTGAGTTATTGATCGACCCGATTATGTCTGTTTTCCTGTCGCATCTATGTGTGAACTGATCCAGACTTTAACACGCTTCATCTGTGTCACATCGATCGCTCCCACCGACTGAAAACTGATCAGACGCATCTCAACATGGGCGCCGCAGACGCCGCAGTGAGAGAACCACACACACATCAATGACCTCCATTGAATGTGGTCCCTTTGAGCGAGGCACAAACAGCCAATGAGCGCGTACAAAGCCGGCCTTTCAAGTTCATCTGGACTGATGTAATAAAATTGACACATGGAGTCGGCTGAATTCTGGGGCGCCTGTTACCTAAACTCTCATTTCCAAAGCACTGTCACCTCCCCTCACTGCAAATGAATCAATTACAGAGCAGTATAATCCTGTTAGGGGGAGATGAATGCATACCTCCCCGTTGGCAGGTGCTGGCAGGCTGAAGGGGCTTATTGGAGCAGGCGATATCAAAGCTGGGGGTTTTATCTGCCACATTAGAACCACTGCAAACCAGAGAGAGCGAGCGACAGTGGCTGCGCTGCCTCCGCCTCGCACGGAAATACTGTTCACACTGAGCACCACTCACTGCACACTTACACACTTATACCACATTTATACACATTTATACTACATTTATACACAATTATACACATTTATACACATTTATACTACATTTATACACATTTATACTACATTTATACACATTTATACTACATTTATACTACATTTATACACATTTATACTACATTTATACTACATTTATACACAATTATACACATTTATACACATTTATACTACATTTATACACATTTACAGACTTACAGACTTACAGACTCTTCCTCTGCTGCTAATTTACACATTTTATCTGGATTTTACCTTCAGTAACTTACAATCACACAGCATCATAAATTGATCATATATAAACTGTTCACATATAAACTGTTCATATATAAACTGTTACTGCTCATATATAAACTGTTACTGTTCATATATAAACTGTTACTGTTCACATATAAACTCTTACTGTTCACATATAAACTGTTACTGCTCATACATAAACTGTTACTGCTCATATATAAACTGTTACTGTTTATATATAAACTGCTCATATATAAACTGTTACTGCTCATATATAAACTGTTACTGCTCATATATAAACTTTTACTGTTCATATATAAACTGCTCATATATAAACTGTTACTGTTCACATATAAACTGTTACTGTTCACATATAAACTGTAACTGTTCATATATAAACTGTTACTGTTCACATATAAACTGTTACTGTTCACATATAAACTGTTACTGCTCATATATAAACTGTTACTGTTCATATATAAACTGCTCATATATAAACTGTTACTGCTCATATATAAACTGTTACTGCTCATATATAAACTTTTACTGTTCATATATAAACTGCTCATATATAAACTGTTACTGTTCACATATAAACTGTTACTGCTCATATATAAACTGTTACTGTTCACATATAAACTGTTACTGCTCATATATAAACTGTTACTGTTCACATATAAACTGTTACTGTTCACATATAAACTGTTACTGTTCACATATAAACTGT